CGATCGCTTCGCGTTTACGTTTCTGACACTGGAATTTCGACTCTCGATTCGGCCATCCTAAATGTCATCCCGTTATATATGTGAAAGGCTCTCTATCTATTTTATTCAGTTGCACGTGTCATGCATATATAAGGAGATATAAGAAGATACATGCAACTCGTAATATTGTTAGCGAATAACTTCTTATGGCAAATAATCGCTAAATGTCGAGCTCTTCCGGGTATAACGAGCATGATACGGAAACGGAACTTTTTTTGCCAATAAAGAGTTTATTCACGTTCGATTGGCGATCAGAAAAAAACAGAAATTGCTGTAGCAGTTTATAACGCGATCATTGCTATTAATAGCTAATTACGTGTCGAGGAAACTCTGGTGTCGATTATTGCCTTATTGAGGCAAATTCAACGATATCTTGAAGCGTTTGATACAAAACAAGCCGATACTTTCCATTCTTCTTATCGCGAAATGGATCACGAATAATCCACTCGGTGGATGCAGGCGTTTCTCACATGCGAATCTGCCTTCGCAAAATTGCTATCGCGTCTATGAGCGGTCGTGCATGACCCGACGAAGGTTCTACTTTCTTCGATGGCCTCTCTAGAATCAATCCCGTCTTACGAACACAACGTACGTAAGCAATGCACGCGGGTAACATGCGTCACACATTCTACCTGGACTTATGTATTTAATAATAAACGTAGTCGAGTTCTCGCTTTCGCGTAATAAATTGTACCGCAACTTTTACTACTGCGAGCTAAATCTTAACGATGCATCTCTCTCTTCGTTATGAAAACTTTGCAAGAAACTTTCACGATTCCCATAAGGGAATCTCTCTCAATCGCTCGTAACGCGAAAAAAAAACTCAACGACCGTGTCAATTAGAGGAATAATTCGTAATCTGCAATCATGTAACGTTGTTAAAACGTCAAAAGAAATATAGATGCGGGAAGATAGTTATCTATGCGGAATCTAGATAAAAAAGAGGAAAGAATGCAACCGTTTATTATCTACTATTAGGGAGACAGACAATGTGCAACGCAAACAAATTATTAACGCAAACATTTATCCGTTTTATAATGAAAATTATATACAAGCCGATGTTTCTATGATCATTGAATACACCATGTCTTTAACTCTTTTCCGTTCTAAATAATCATGCATGAGAATTTATTTATTACAGTATCGCGCAATTAAACAAAAAAATTACATATTTCACATTTTTTTAAATTTATTTTTAACGCAATGAATTAAAAATGTATCTAGTTATTTTTAAAAAAGGATTAATTGTATAAAACTTGCTCAGAATCTTTTCTTGTATCGCACCGATCGATATAATTTTATAACTGCAACATCGTCTGTGCGGATGCGTTTTTAATGATCAAGGATTCGTATGATTATCGGGAGGATTTATAATTGGCGAAATACCAGTTTAATCGCCTCGTGTAATCACTATTGTCCGCCGCGAATCGTAATCACGACGCGCTCGGCAAACACGCAAGGAGAGTAGGAACGAGGGCGGACAGTTTGATGTATCGCACGACGGAGAAAGAGAGCGGCACAGATCTTGCACGGCGACGGCGACGGGCCGACACAACACGCGGCTTCGGCGCTCTCGACCTCTTTGCGTCTACGTGGGAGGAATAGAGGAAGTCGTGCATTAAATCCGAACCTCTCCGCCACCTTTCAGCGCTTAAACGCCTCTCAAATGGCATGGCCATCGCGCACACTTGTGCGCAAAATGCATAAAAAAGCGATTGCGCCCATTTCCGAATTAACCAACCCCTCGATCGGTCTTTTCCTCGAGAGCTCCAGGTTTCTCTTCCAGGACGTTCGGTATCTGTGGTTGGTCTATAAATTGCTTATCCTTGAATATATCGTTGACATATCATATGTATACGATGTCAATCTTGCACCACGTTCCATCATCCGCTGACATTCAGCTTTCGCATAAAATATATCTTGATGAGATCCTCCTTTATCTATTTGTTAAAATATTATCGCATGAATATTAATTGACGATGCAAAAATTTATTGCAATTTTTATCGTGGGTATTTCATTTTTTTTTTTATTTTTACAATAAATTTTTTGCATGGCTGTAGCCATGCTAATTATAAGCTCAAGTTAACGCAACTGTTGGTTTTAACGAAACCGACCGGAATAAATGTTACAATAAAATTGGATATAAAACAAGAAATTAATGATAGGAAAAAAGCACTAGTTCCTGTTTGTATTCCATTCGACCTAAATTTTATTTGTGCTAAAATAGCTGCGTGCTGCTAGCTTAACGGACATATCTGAGAGCCCCTCAGCGGCTCTTGGACTTTCTCGCTCGCGCGTATCGAGCGGAAAGATTCCAGTCTCGACCGCTCACTCGTGATTGCGCTCATTGCCGAATTAACTGCGAACGTCAGACGTTCCCGTTCACACGAGTGGAAAAATTCTAAGACTCTTCGTACCTCGACCGAATGCAACGGTAGATGACATGAAAATCCGATTAAAAATGACAAAAGTTGCATTCTATTTCTTTTTCTTTTTAACGAGAAACGTGGAGTTAATCTCGTCGGTTAATCTCGCGAAAATATTCCTACGCTTCGCCGCGTGTTATATAATCAAATTCGCGATTGCGCGCGAAAAGATATCCAAATATTTCGACAGTTATTTTTAGTATCCAAGATAAATTTGAAATTCCTCACGTTGGTATATGATTACGTTAACTAAACAAACGTCAATTAGCAATTTACTATCACTTTCAAAATTACAATCCTTGATCTACTATAGCGCGTCTTTTTTTTTAAGTTATCTTTAGAGGAATCTTTAAGGATGTTTTGTACCTATTTTCAAAATATTGAGAATTTAATGAAAATTGTACAGAATGTCCTTACATACATATGTTTAGAATCTTTAGTACAATTTTTAAATCTATTCACTAAAGCGTTCACAAGTTATAAGGATTTTAATTTGCACCGAATTAACATGTGTTCTTATGGGAAACGTATAATCACGTCGATTCAAATGACAAAAACACATGAAAATAATATTCAGAATTTGTTGTTTAAAATTTGCAAAAGTTTAGATACAGAGGAAATATTTGATCAAATAATATTATACAAGTACTAACTGTGGTTAAAAAGATATTAAATATAATTCAATGGAGTTAGCCATGTATCTGTCACAAGATGAAATTCTCTGTCAAAAGTTAATCATTTCAATTAACAAAATTCGAAATATTTCAGAAAAAAAAATAAATATTAAAAAATACATCTCTATACTGTAGCTAAGATCAAATTATAATATTCCACACAATTTCTCATACTCAAAATACACCAAAAGTGGATATTCGTCAATATTGATTTTCAGCTACTTTTTGCTGGGATTGTACATGCAAAACATCCTTAAATCTTAAAGTAAAATTTATTTATAAAGAGAACTTACACCAATAAAATAATTCACGATATCATTGATGCGCGTCGCATAAGTCAGATGTCGTGAATAATGATTAGAATACAGGTACTTTACATCATCATTTTATTATGCTAGAGTTGCGGAATAGATATAGAGATATGGGATCGCTTTAAAATTGGAACATGCGTGACGAGACTTGCTACGCAATGCGTCGATCGCGCTCCATCTGACGTTTCTATCTACACGCATGTGATCCAATTGGACGCTCAATATATCAAAGTATGAGGTAGTATCATGCGAGAGATGATGAAACGCGAAAGGATTTAGCCTTCGCCCTCAAGGCTGACCGCTAGTACATCGCCAACAATCGTCCGCGGTTTAAGTCGATTTACACATGGCTCGAAGCTTCTCCGAGAAACAATAGACTGTTAACGAGAGGGCTCTTCCATTTAATTTGAAATTATCATAATAATATATATTTTTAAAGAGAGAAAAAGAAGAATGAGACATTTAAAAAATGCTAATGGACAACACGAACGTAAAAACTCCGAACGTAAAAAGAAAACTTGATGCGTAACGTGCATGTAATTGACCTGCTTCTCTATATGAATACTTACAGACTTTGCATCGAAAAAATTCAATCGCATTCCTCTCTCGGAATGATAAAACTGGATCTAGCGCGCGGATAAAATACAGGAGGGCGTGAGAGAAGAATGACTGAGAGACGTCGAACAAAGATTTCGCGGCTGCAATCGTTTCCAATGAAGGAGAGGACATAATGCACGCCCTCGTTGCATTCTCCTCCAGGGCCGCGTCAATACAGACTTGCAATTCATAGCTGCAATTCATTGATAATCCAATTGATTGTCCGGTATAATAGAGCAACGGAGTTAAAATAACTATAGCTTTTGTATGATTAAATTACTCCAAATTTAAGCAGTCTTAAATGGATTTAGAAAATCTTAAATTTCTATAAAAATTCTATAAATTCTATAAATCTAATATAAATTAATGATTTGAAACTGCTGAAATTGAAATTAATGTATTGAAACTATAAGATAGAATATATTTATAAAATTTATATACATATTTACAAATTGTATTATATAAGCTTCGAGATTACAGTGATAACTCGATATAGTGTTATCCTTTTTTGAAACATAATGAGAATTCCTTTTAATTACAAACTCTCATTGATCGCGATAATGTATAGCTATTGCATCGTACGTTGCATCGTGCAAGAGGTTTTAATGCGGCGGCTAGAAAGTGATTATTGGGATACGGAGATATAAAAGCGAGGGAGGTGATTGGGCGGCGAGATTGTGGATAGGAAGAGAGAATGGCAACCTGGACAGTGTCCAAAACTCGTGTTTCACCTCATAAAAAATCGAGAGAAAGAGAAAATTATAGATTACCTTTTTTTTATCAACATTTTTTTCTAAGCTATCTATAAGTTTTTAGAGAAATCATTCTATCTAATGTTAATTGCAAATTTAAAGTTAAAATTTTTATTAAATTTTTATTAAATATTGAGTCATATATTATATTGGAAAATTAATTTTTTAATATGCTAATCGGGAGACGGCATTTGTTGCAGAAATCTAAAAAGTCGATAGTAGCCAAAAGCCGACAGCATGAGAAACTCGACGTTACTGAAGTGGGCGCAAAATTCGGCGAACAATAAAAATCAGCCGAATAAAAATGGGGGTAAGTAAAAACGGATCCGCTAAAGTACGATTAGCATTAGCAAATATCGGCTATTATTGTGAAAATTGAAAACCACCATGACTTGCTTGTTCGCAGGAACGAGCAGAAACTGGATACACCCACCAGACGCGCTTCAAAAAGGACATATCGCTTACCTAGTCAAGGTATTGTGCTGTTCCTATAATATCATAAAAATTTCTTCATGTTGAAATAAATTTATATCGAGATGAGGAAACTAATTTATATTCTGATTTTTTAAATATTTTTTTCATTCAAATATTTTTATTACAGCAATTTTAAAATTATGATATCTACAATAACTTTAACTCTTGTACGATAATTCGCATTTAAAAATTCAAAATTGCAAATAACGTAGCGATAATTATATAAAGCCTCGGTTAAAATTCCTATTTTTTTTTTTTTAATAATTTTTTCCCAAGTCTTTTCCGATGGAATGCGAAAATATTCTTGATTAATGATATATAATGTTAGCGTGTGCACGTTGGGCAAGGTTGTGGCACGCGATTGTGAAATCGTGGGATAAACAACGACAAAGTGACAAGTCTCATCCTGGCACCGTTTCCCGATATCTCGAAACCGATTCGAATGAAAGGTCGAGGTCATCGCAACGCATGTCGTCGATCTTTGCAGCCACTTTTCTCGCATTTATTTCATCTCTGATATGAGTTATAATTGAATCGAAACTTGCAGAATGGGATATCTTCATTACATGTTCGTGGAATTTGTTGACGCACATACGTCTAATTATCTTACATTGCTAACGAACGTAATTAAGCCAAGATTACTTTGTCGGGTGGGACACGTGAATTCGTGCACACTGCGTGAGAAAAACTGGAGAAATTGCTGGCAACTATTAAGTAATAATCAGCGGAAGGATGAAGATAAAAACAGTTGTTTGAGAATAAAATTATACAATCTTCCATTCATTTATTCTTTCTCTTTTTACAAATATTATAAAAAATTATAAAAGATAAAAGTATAAAAAATTAGAGATAAAAATATAAAAAAATTATAAAAGAATATTTCTATATTTGTTAAATTGTATATTCAGTAACTTGTAATGTAAATTATTCTATTTTTCTACAAGAAATGTAATCTTTTATCAAGAAACATATTTTTATAAATTATAAGAATACAAGAAACATATTTTTATAAATTATAAGAATTTGTAATAATTAAATTAATTCAGCAAAAAATTCGAGATATTGGCAAAAAAATTGCAAGTATGAGACTAAAAAACTTATAGACGTCTCACATGGAATTGGATTTAATGTGACGGGAGCAGTTTAATATTTCATCAAAAAATGACTGATGTAAGACGAAAGTGATTCGAGCGATTTACACTTTCTAGTCGATTACGAATTTCATTATTCGCGGAGAATGACTTGCGCAGAGATAGAAAGAAAGACACTCTCCATAATCTGCATCGATCTACACTCGAGGCGCGTTCATTCATTTCGTGTCACCCGGAAAAGTTGCGCAACGCGTAACCGTGCACCCGTCTGCCTTTCGATTCGAATTGTTACCAGCACGTATGTAAGTTTCACCAATGAAACTTAGCGAATACCAAGTGATATCACGGATGAATTGTTGTTCGAGACGCTGGGATCGAGTCGATGTGAGTTCATTGAACTTCGAAACTTTGCGAGCGGACAGATTTCACTATCTCACGAACGAAACGTATGTCGTCAGCACTAAACGCGAAATAGCGGAATTTTATTCGGATTTGTCTTTTTCGTCGGATTCGATTTCCCCATTTCAAATCTGCGCGTTTCTTTTCGGGAGATATTCCGCCGAAGAGAAAGAGTTTCTCCACGTGATGCAAAAATATAGATATTTCATACTTTAATCGCATGCAATATTAATTTAATTGCTTACTATATTAGGATTATTATAAAAATTATAAATATTTTTTTTTAATCTTTAATAACAACTTTTGAAGATGCAAATTCTATATTTATAAACTTTCTAATTCTTTTGCGATTATATAAATCAGTTCAAATATCCTTTTACGTTTTTATATTTTTCTTGCGGTTGTTTATGCAAAATCCTTATTTTGTTCCTACGAAAATGAGAAATATGTTGTAATTGTATGGAACACAATTATGAAACGCTATTAAATTATCAAAATCAATTTCACGGTATGTCATATACCGTGCAATTGCGCATTACATCCGATCAGATTTGCGTAAGCAGACACGATTTCGTCATCCAGGAAAATGTGAACCGAGAACATTAAAAAAAAGAATATTAAAAAAATCAAAGATCAATAAACTATGCAGTAAAAACGTCATTGTAGAACGATAATCACGCAATTTATCTCTATTGCGTTTATCGCATCCTTCGTATTATGGATTAAAATGTAAAAATATTTTATCGAGCACGAGGAATATCGTTAGATGTGCACTGTATTCTCAAATGTTATTGCGAAATATTTCTATTTTTTTTTTCATTTGCTTCAATTTGTGAAACTGCGACTGCAAAGAATTATAATTAATTACTGATTAGTGTGTATATGAAATGTGTATATACTTAAAGTCTAATTTTCTGTCTAATTTTTCTATTTGTTTTCCATATCGATCAAATTTATATATATGTATGCCTATCAATTTTATTTTATCTTTTTTATTTTATTATTTTCTATAATTTGCACGATAAAATATTCTTCATTTGATAAATAAAATTTTGATATGATTTTCGGATGTTCAATTTGTTCAATTTGATCTTGTTGTGCATTCTGATTTATTAATACATCTGTAAGCGGTTAAGTAATTTTCCTTTAAGACATATTACTTTGATGAAAGATGTGAACATTGTCTATTTAAATATATACATATATGTATATGCAAAAAATTTATGATGATTATAATGCAAAAATATGCAAGCTGCGGAAGAATGCGCTAAAAAAACATCGTTAATAAAGAAGTATACTCGTGTCACGTTCTAAGCGTGTATTTTTCTTGGAAACGTTACACGCAACATTTCCCACGCCGTGTTGTCTCAGTATTACTGTTTATTTTTTATATTGCGCACACGAAAGAACTTCCGCCTGACTTTATTTCTCGTCATCTTTCTATGATTTAACATTTTAGTATTTGGGCAGCACAGAGGTAGATCAACCTAAAGGCATCGATGTTGTCAAGGAAGCGATTTGCAAGCTAAAATTCAATCAGCAACTCAAGAAGAGCGAAGGCACAAAAACGCCGAAGGTCGAGCTTACCATAAGTATCGATGGCGTAGCGATACAAGAACCAAAAACAAAAACGACGACCAAGGTTTGTTCGAGATAAAAATAATTTTTTAAATGTAAATAAGAAAAAGAAGTCTTTTTCTTATTTACATTTAAATAAGAAAAAGAAGTCTTTTTCTTATTTACATTTAAATGAGAAAAAGAAGTCTTTTTCTTATTTATTCGTATTTTTATAACTCGATTTGATCCATGATTTAATCGAGAATTATTTTTACAGAGAATTATGCATCAATATCCGTTGCATAGAATTTCATATTGCGCCGACGACAAGGGAGAAAAGAAATTTTTCAGTTTCATCGCGAAGGAGGAGGATGCAGAGAGGCATACATGCTTTGTTTTTGTCAGCGACAAATTAGCCGAGGAAATCACACTCACCATCGGCCAAGCTTTCGATTTAGCTTACAGGCGGTTCCTAGAAACATCTGGTAAAGATTTGGAAGCGCAACGACGCTGCATGGTGTTACAGCAAAAAATAAAACGACTTGAACACGAAAACAACGTTTATCGGCAACGGCTGCAAGATATCGCAGCTATTAAAGGCTCGGTTAGTATGTAAATATAAATAAAAAATATAAAATATTTTTATTGTATACTTTTTAATGTATATGTGGATTAATTGATTAATTGTGTATGTGTATATGCAATACTAAAAATTGTTAATCCCGTTTTAGGCGGATGTATCAACGTATCTATCACAGCATAATCTACCCGACATTCTTCATGTACCTAGAGCTCCGTCGGACTCACCGCAAGTCAATGGCACAATTAGCAAAACACTGCTAAATACGAGCAGCGACAGTAACGGAAATACATCTAATGGACCCCAGCAACCGCCGCCAGTTCCGCCGAGAAGTTTCGAGAAAAGTTTCGACGATGATTTCATGGGGTATATATAAAATCAACATTACAAATTTTATTAATCTTTTTTTCTTTGATTTTATACCTTTTTTTATTCTATAGAAATGAGCCAGTGTCAACGCCGTCGGTTGGTACGAAATTAGAAGGACTGTTGATGGACGAATTTGAGGAAGATTTTAATCCAAGGGCTTACGAGACTGCAACCAATGGTCTTACCAACCATCAATCAAATAGTAATTCGCTCCTTAATGGTCAAGTATCTTCCGGATCAAATTTCTTTTCGCAATCTAATGGCACAATCAGTCCTCCGCCTCTATGTAAGTATTTAATTTATAAAAATGAATGTATCTTTCATTATTGCTGAAAATATTATATTTTATTTCCAGTGGCGCCACCACCAAAGACGAAAGATTCGAGACGTCAAAACGGAGTCAAAGAAGATCTATTCGGTAGCATTCCTTTCAATCCCACGCCAACGCTAAATATAAAGAATGACTTTAAGGATCCATTTGAAATGGGAGAATTTGGAGCTTCGACTATGACGTCAAATCCTAGCCAGCAAGAATTGGAAAATGCTATTGGTCTACTAGATAAGAGGCTATTGGAGATGAAGGTGAAACATACAATTTCATTCAGTTTTTAAATTTTTTAGAGTTTTCGCTGTAGACAGATTATAAACCGTGTAATGTAAAATCTCTAGGATGGTTTTAGCAGAGGACTATGTATTGGAACTGATGACTTTTCTTTGGAGAGCTTGGATCCGCTTCGAAATTAAACTCATCGAGCAAGCCGAAAACTAGGAACGCTCGAACAAGAACGTCATTAGTACTCTCGGATACAGAGTACGCGAAAAGATAAAGTAATTAGGAATTATATCCATGTAAAACCAAAATTAGTCAATTATTATTATCTTGCTCGTATATTTATGATCATGCTCGATATTTATAGTACATATATGAAATAATTGTATAAGGTGTGTATCCTTTTACATTCGCTGATATAATATGTACTATTTTGTTCGCTTTAGAATTGGGGTCCAATTTAACGTACTAGGAACGTGTTATCGTTGTTTCTAATGAGTCAGTGAGACCAGATCTCAAGTTGACCGCTAGAGTGGAACGAGATATTATTCTAATCGAGGTCACATAATTTTAGACGAGAATTTGTTTTACACGCGCGGCGTGCGCATATATATATGCAAACATATACTAAAACAGATTTTATCGCGAATCTCTCACATCGACGATGATATACTTGCGTCTTTTATATTTTTTAATGAGATATTAAGAAAAACTAATTAATATTGTTAATCCTGCAGCCACCAAATCGGATAATCGCAAAGACATTTACTCTTTAAGAAATTATTCGAATCTTTAAAATTCTAAGAGATTAATTAAAAGAGATTAATTAAAAGAAAGTCGTAATATATATCTTATATTCGGTTTAGTTTATAAATTAATTTCTTCTTACATTCAATCATCTGTTAAAAAGTGAGTTAGTAGATGACAAAAATGGAGCACTAACTATCTGTAGCATTAGAGATCACACTAATAGTATGAATGCATCGATTCATCCATTGATTGAATTTGTACACTCCATATATCCTCTTTCTTTGGTCTGTCATTTATTCCTTACACCTTTCTTTTAAAGATAATAATTGAAAAGAAAGGTTTAATTCTAAGAACATGAGAGATTCTATTTGTAAATTTTATAGTAATCTCTATTGCATTATGATAATAATTAAATTGACCAACGTAACATGGAGTGTTAAACGAGTTTATGCTATTCAAAGAGGATTAGTAATTATGTACATATGGAATTCTATATCTCTTATTATTGTTGCTATATTGTTTAAGAATCATAGTTAAGAATATAGCATATGATTATTACAACTGAAATATTGGTTATTTGATGCGTCTTCCTTATATATAATCGGTATATTAAATTTCAGAATAATCTGAAAAAAATTTTCTCTCTCTTTCTCTTTCTCTGTTATCATAGCTGTTATCACTCTCCTTTTGTCTTTACAAGTAAAATATCATTTATAAGCAATTATCACATTTTCAATTTTTAACTCTGATTTAAATCATTAATATTCATAAAACTCTATATTATATTCTATAAAAATTATAAATAATGACGTTTTCAAGACCAGCTTTTCTTCTTTTGTTATTTTAATCTGCATCATATATCGAGATGCAAATAATCATAAGAAAAATATACGTGAATTAAATAAGATAAATACATATATAAGATATTAAATATGTAAAGATATATCTATAAAAAAATTTTATGGCAGAGAATATATTATGCTATGATCTTCAAGAATATTACTTGCTTGTTGAGGAATATATAAATTTCTTAGAAGAATTACAGAATAAAATGCAAATTAAAAAAATATCTTACATTAAACAATAAATAAATAAACAATATATTACATTTATCATATGGAAAATGTTGATTAATAGCCCTTAGCATGTAGAAAAGCATCTATAAGATACTTTGAAAACTGAAAAGAAATATGTACAGAATAGCAAATTATTAAAAAAAATATTGTCTATTTGCACAATTTAATTAAGAAAAGCAGTTCTAAGAAAAATTTATATAATAAGTATCTATTTGAATATATTCAATTATTTGATTATATATGACAAATATGCTTGATAATTGACACTTATATCGTTAATTTTCGAGAATTATAATTCTTTCGGGTTTTAAAATTAAATCAAAATCTATAGGTAAACACAAAACCCTAAAATAGATCCCATCACCTGAAAACATGAGAACTTATCTTTCGTATATCGTTTAAATGTCTCGTCTTACAACTTTTATATCGCTCGAGAGCAGTCGAGTACAATTCGAGGCACCACAGCTTTTGAATTTGGCGCGTTTTTCGTCGGGCAACGAAACGTCACGTGATTCGACGGATGCGCTGCAGGCGGCGCTAGCGGCGTGAACGTGGCGCGACGCGCGCTGCGTCAGTATCCCGCGAGCTCCCATCGTGTTTTGTTCGTTTCTTGCTTCGCCCGGTCTCCATTCTCCATCTCGAGTCCCCCAGGGTGGGAGGGAATCGCCGCCGTCGCCGCCTGCAGTAGACGCGAGAGCCGACGAGAAACGCCACAGAGACAAAAGTGCCTTCTTCCTTCCTCCGTGAACCAAGATCCCTCTCAGGATGGCGGACGACAGCCACGAGAACGGCACCAGTAACGGCGACGTGCCCGAGATCGAGCTGATCATCAAGGTGAGTGTGCCACGCGCGGTCGTGGATCGTGAGCGAGCGAGACAGACAGATACGTTGATAGGGGGACAGGGGAGGGGAAGACGCGAAAAAAAAGGAGGCAATCGTCCCGTGCGCGCTATGGGCGTGGAGCTGTACCGACTCCTGCTCGTTGCTCCTGCAGGAGATCCAAAGAGAAATACGGAGAGCCTCGCCTCTTTCTTTCCCAGCAGGATGCCCGCGACCGTGAAAATCGAGCCGCTCCGCGAACGACCGGCGCGGAAATAATCCGCGCTGGCCGTTGACCGTTTCCCCTCCGGTCACCTTTGACGTTTTCGACTTTTGTTTCCGTCTCGGGTCATGTTCGGCCGTGATCGATGCTCCCGGATGCGGAATTTTCGTCCCTTTATCATTCGAACGCGCCGACGCGTAATAACTGGAGGTATTCGCGAACAAACGGACGCGATGCACGCGGACAATACGTGCGTACGTCGCTGAGGCTCGCCTTTTCGCCTCGCGAATCACGAATCTTGGCGGATATGCGCTCCTTTTGACGAGTAGGCTCGCTTTAGCGGACGCATCATGTGTCACGAGCCTTCGTATCACGCCAACGTTACATCAGGGGTCAAGACCGGTTTACCGTGGCTCGATTCAATTTCTGACGTCGCTAACCGTTGCCGCGGGTACGAGTAGACGTGATTTTCGCGCGTCTGAACCTCTTGGAGCTCGAATAAATCAAATCCGCTGTTGGTCTCCGATGGGAAGAATACGGATACGAATGTTCGAAAACATTCGGATTCGAGATGCCGTAAATAAGCAGAAACGAACGACGCGTGTTTCGAAGTAGCGCGTCATACGTTACACATTTCTTTACGCATGGAGTCATCGAGGGCGCCGAGCCGTTCTCGCACGCCGCTTACTATGTACTCTCCTTCCTCTGTCGATCGTTTGTGTATTCAGCGGGCAGTATTACAGACGACAGATGGAACACGACGAGAAGACGCCCGCCGTCGTCGTCCCTCGCGACGAGAAGTTGTCTCGCGCGCGACCCGGAAAGTGATCGTGACGGGAAAATGAAAGGCCCCCTCCCCCCCGCCCCGCCCTCACAGCTGTGAACTAGCTTTTCCCGGGGCCCGCCTTGGAATCCGGAGACGGAGATCGCGATGTTGATCTGGAATTGTGATCGATCTGTACGCGTGATGCGATATAAATTCCATTCTATCGTGATTGGCGCGTTCCTATCTTATCGGAAATAAATCGCGCGTTTTGAATCTCGCTGGATAGATCTCTTCATCGCGATTAACGGTCGAAGAAGAATAAAGAAATTTCGGATTTCGTTTCTTTTTATCGAGTAAGATGTTTTTGAAAAATCACGATTCTACGAGATGTGTCTTACATCATTAGAATATGACAATTAAAAATGGTGTAATTTAAAAATTTTATAAATTAGAGTATGTCAATATTCGATATTATTCGGAATAATCCTTTCTTCGCCTGGAAATAATAAAACGCGATGAATCAATGATAAATTATGTGTATTAAATTATAATCAAAAGGAAAATATGATAAATACGTTGTTACATGATATCGTAATTTCGCGATATCGCATTATTATATTTTTGGTTTCGATTAGATAGCAACATCGGAATGTTTGCGATCGCTATTATTCGGATTTTCGATGGACTTGACTCGATTCGATCGAGGGTGTGAGCTCGGCGTGAGTTCTCTAAACTTTCTTTTCACCGAGTTTCCAAGGGGGAATGACTCCTTATAAGCGGAAACTGGCTACCTTCGACAAGTGACCATTAAAGAGCTTGCGATTAAACTTTCGCCGGAACGCGCTGATTGATCGGATTTCTTCCAAGGAAAATTATCATCCTTTACGCGACGATAGACTGCAATTTCAACATGCATCATTGAATATTTATATGATTTTTGCATAAAAGAAACGTGGTATTTCTGATTTGAAATTGCAGAACAAATTTTTTCAAACTTTTCAGAAATATTTTTTCCAGTATAAATATAATTTACACTATTTACATAATGAAAAATTTAATGTATTTGATAAATTAATCGTTAAGAGTTGAAAGATTAAATTATTAATATTAATATATTAGTAATATTATTAAACATGTATCTATTATTTATACAGGAATTATATATATGTAAATATATTTAATAATATACGGAAAAAAGTGATAACTTTATCTCGCAACGATATGATTTTTTTAATAGTGAATTTTGTCGAAAGCGTTCGCTCTACTCATCGTTGTCGATCCTATTGTGAAGGCAAAACGATTGTCTTCCATATCGGTGCAACTTGTCCTCAAGTATGTCAATGAGAATTTTACACGAAGGCCTTTCAGATAATTTGATTTATCATCTCGATTGCATTGTTAGATAAATATTCGGGTAGTTTATGCAAACCGGATATTTATTAAAAATACGCTCTTACGAGTAAACATGATAAAATGTAAAAATTGATAATAAATTATCAGCTTTCTTAAACGTGCGATATAAAATTACGCGATAAAATTTTAATATATCGTAATTTATATAAAAAATTAGATCTCGCGAAAGCTCGGTATATCGGTATATTTTTTATAATTAATTATGTTGTAATTAATTACAATAATTATAGCGATAATCATAAAGTATAATAGTTGTAACAATTTAATGGCAACATATTTCTGCTATTATCGAGTGGAGGATCATAACAGTATCATCGACAACTTCTTTAAAATACGATCTGACATTCCTACGTCTTTAAAATAACATATTTCGAATATATTAATAAATAAGTGTGAATATTCAAATATTGCACCGTTAAAAACGCGCATCGTCTGTATTTTCGTAACGAAATACCGTAAATACGTGATTATTAAACGGTGACCGTTTAATTTATTCGATTAATGAGGTCACACACAGACTGTTATGTAGTCGCTGTGGCTATACCGTTGTTGTGAATCAAAGGAACGTTCGAGTGGCAGGTACAACATAAACGTAATTTTGTATCCGATCGTCAAAATCGCGCGAGCGGGAAGATTTAATGACAAACCGACCGACCTTGCACTCTCGGGAAGCAATCATGCGGGGTCTCTCAAGTAAGTGTGTCAAACGGGACGAAACGATGAAGTGGCTACCACAAGGTCCTCCTCCGAGATTCTACCGTTAAACGATGGACTCCTTTACCTTCCGCTTTCCTCCTCTTTCTTCTGGCTTTCCCCGCCGACTTCGATATGACTTCGTTCCTCGGATCTTCTCTATATCTATTATATCTACGCGAATGCCTCGAAGATTTATTTACTGAAAATAGAAAAGTACGAATATTAGGATAGAAGGAAAAATTCATATAAGTTTTGCTATCGCAAAGGAAAAAAATATATTTTTTAAGACTTTTTTTTTTAAGAAAAATCGGAAAAAAATTGTAAAAAAAATCAGAAAAAAATTGTAAAGAAACAAGAGGGAGAAGATCTAATTTTTTTAACTTCTCCCTTACCCGTACATTAATTTTCATGTTCCTTTTAAAGTGTTTATCCTATTATAATTTAATTATTATGTTTTGACTACGTCCTTCTTTTACGATGTTCCGGCTCGCTAGAATTATTTTTCCGACCGCAGTTATTTGCATTAAAATAAAAGGTGATCGCATAACACCACCTGCGGCGATCGATCTGACTTTAATCTCCTCTAAGGTCATTACAAGCGTGTCTACATGGAAGACACTCCAATAATTCGCCCAATCGTTTCATGAACACGTAACGCTGACGCTTCAATAGAGCATGAAGAAAAATGCATGCGCAAAAAAAGATGTATAAAAAAGACAGGTATAAAAAGAAAATTATTAGTATTAAACATCGCGGGATGAAAGATGTTGATGTTCAGCGGAAAATCCAGTCCTGGAAAACGTCGTCCTTCTAATAACTTACAAGTTTAATATTTCTTTGCGAGCAATGTCTCTTGATTTTTTTCTTAACTAATCGTTAATTTCATTCAGAAAAGGTAGCGAGCACGCGGATGGTGGCAAATGCGTTGTGAAATTATAGCTCTCTCTTTCTCTGTCTCTCTGTTTTGCTTTTTCGCCGCGTATATTCCTAGAAGTCACACACGTGCATATATACGTGCATCTCTTTCTATTCGTAATGATGTACTATAAGCAAGATGGTAAGAAAATCGCACGTCCCCTACATATGCGATTGAAATATCGTAAAGAAACAGATATAGCATCGTTATATTATGAATTATTTATTTGGAAAGCAGATTGTTTTAAAAATTCAGTCCAAGTAGAAACATCCAGCTGATTAATATAAAATTTATCAGTGCATTGTATTTATTATACTTTAAAAGTATATCTCTCGCGTGGTTTAACATTGAAATCGTATTATTTTTGATGTTAGTATCTCCTCAGCAATTTCAGCAAATTATTCGAGAAATAGTTTGCTTGGATGTAAAATTTGTATGACGTCCAAGGAAGAATTTCTTTGGCGAATGTCGCGGGTATGCATTAATTTTTTCCGGACATGTGGAACAAGGTTATACTCGCGATATATTCATTAACGATATCACCGATGCATACATCGCTCTTAGCCGGTCTTTCTTTTTACGCTCGATTTCTTCCTCCTGTCTTTTTTTCCGCCAGTATGCTATTCAATGGCTTCGACAGAGTCGCATAACGCAAACCACCGTACGCTCGCGTAACAGACATTGTAATTCTTCTGCTTCTCGCGCGCGCACATATAAAATAAACCAAAATTCTCCTCGGCGAAGATTCCTGTTTCCGGTCAATCGCATATATCACGCCCATAAATATGCTGAATTCGATTAAATGTATTTTCTGATGCTTAGATAACCGCTTATTCTGACTTTTCGAGGAATGGAATTCGCCTGCGTACGTATGTCGTATCTGTTTTCATGGAGAATTCGACCGTGACGTTCAAATTGAAATGGCCTGGATAAATTGTGTTGTATTTTGGAGGGAGGGAGAGAGAGAAGAGAATAGAAAGAGAAATATAACGCGAGAGAAAAGCTGTCAAGAAAAGCGATTGCTCAGCTTATTTTTCTTTTTTTAAGTAATAGTTTTCTTCAACAAAGAATATATTCTTATAATCTTGAAATATACTCATCACAAGTGTTAGAAAATCTCATTATCATGTACTCAAAAGAAGAATTTATTTTCTCTTCAAGAATATTGTAAAGTTGTATCGAAGAAAAATCAAACTTACTTTACGTCAACTCTTGTAGTAAACCAAATTTTTCTTTTAATTTAATATTCTTGACTAAAATACTGCACTTACTAAAATTCAGAATATATTCAATTAAATTTAATGCTTGTGGTAAACTTATGATATATTTGCGGATGACTTATGATATAATTGCGGACAAACTTATGATATGCTTAAAATAAATAATATTTACTTGAATACAGTATACACTTTTCTCTTCGAAGATTCTTCGATTCTCTGTGAAGAGATGCACGTCCTGTGTTACGTTAGGCACAATAAGATTCCGACATCATTGATTCCCATTCCGAATTGAATGGATATCGATGCATATCGATGATAGGCACACCTGACATCGCGTACGAATTTTCAGGCTTTCGTAATAGAGAAAGGAGGTGAGGAACGAGACTGAAGAGGTAAAAGAGATTGCAACGTTCAAAGAGATGAAAGATGTTCGGTGTCTTCGTGACATTTGATCCACCATGAGCGTTCTCCACACGTGACTCGCACCTTCGACACGAATACCGAACACGTTGGATTTCCGCATAGTCTCGACAATATTATTAAATAAATTATTACCGTTACTCGTGTCCTATACAGAAAAAAAAGAAGTGTCAAATCAAAACTTATATACTTAAACTAACTAACGCGTTCGTTGTTTCGTATATATGCAACAATTTCTAATCTTGGAAGAATTTAATAATTTTAAATTTCAACAATATTATCATCTTATTTTAATATTGTAATTGTCACCTCAAGAATATATAATTATTTAATTCTACTTTAAGAAAATTATAATCTTTGATTTAAAAATGTTATTTTCTATCCAATACTGTTTCTTTTCCATTCAAGAAAATTAAATCTTAAATCATGAGAATATATTTTTCTCGATTAAACTATATAAAATGGCTTCATTCAAGTAAGCAATTATTCAAGCAATTATATTTTTCTTAAATTAACGTGATATAATCTCATTTCAAGATTTCCATATTAAAACTAAATATATTTTTAAAATAAGAATGTCCTTTTTTTCTGTGTACTATTCACATTTTACGTCTTACATAAGTTCAGTTTTGACAACGTCGATTTAATCGCGGATTATTTGCACTTTGTTCGTGCTTTCTCTTCGATTGTAGACTTGAAAATAAATGTAAAGATTGAATTATATAATAATATTAAAGATAATTAAAATAATATCGCGACACGCAGTCTCAATTAAAATAAAAATTGATAAAGAATCAATATTAAAGTAACATTATTGCAATACAAACTAAAATTAATGAAGACGTGTTATTTGAAGTGCGAATTATTTTTCTTTCCGTTACTTGCTTATATTGCGTGCCTTATTCGGAATAAATGACTCATCATAAAGTCATCTTGCACAATCGTACGAAGGGGAAGGACATAACTCTTTAGCTATACTCCTCGGAATTCTTGATTAACATAACTGCTGCGGAAAGTCAAGCTTGATGATCAAATAGAGGCCTCACTAACGTGTGTCCTTATCGAATTATTATTCTATTTTACATTCTCGTAACGAATATCTTTCGAAAATAATAACGCTTCGTTGACATTGCGCAATGATACTTTGGATATAACAAAGAACACTAGATATATAAATGAAAGATAACTAAAGATACTTAACAGATGTTTAATGGATATCTAAAGACTCATTATGACACATTTACATATATACTTCATTTAATAATAAGAGTATCTGAATTTCATTTTTATAAGACAAATAGAATTTAGAAGCATAAACTCTAGAGAATCTCGATAGATTGTAACTTTTTGGATATTACTTTAGAATAATTTTACCTTTAAATGTAATCTCTTTACCATTCAAGACTTTGCTGTCAGATCAAAGAGAAGGCTTGCTTCTAAAAAAAATAGATAAAAGGCATTTTTCCGACACGTATATTATCTGAAATACAAACTACGAAAGAAGCCATCTGTAAAAATTTGATGATGTTGCTTTGATTTTGTGGGAGATAGAGTCGCTCGTTGACAGGATCCTTTTCGAGGATCATGTACGCTAAATAAAGGCTCGACTTTCTCACGTTGTGCAACGTCCGAAAACAGATCGTGCGTCATCGCCGAGAAAGAATACAGAGATGTGCGCGTGTGAGGAACCAGCTGCATGACGCATATGAGACTGGAAAGTAAAACAAGGACATCATTGGTAGTAGTAAACGATAGTGGCAGCGGTGATACAAAGGCTATGATATCGCGATCTCTTCATTCCCCTAACTACACACGGCTCATTAGGTCCTGGAAGAGCACGGTTGATTGTTAACGCCGGATGAAAATAGAATCGGCGTCCAGGAGAGAAAGAGAGAGAGAGAGAGTTGGCAAATTGCCGAGATTTGATTTGCTCGAATTACGGCAATACTGTGGGTAATCAGTAGGTCTGGCCTTACGAAGGAGAGCGATTACGTTACACAATGTGTGGGTTGTTTAACTATCACCGCTTGGGTGAAGGATCAAAGTATCGGGATAATAAACGGAATGTCGTAGAGAGAGATATTCGTTCACACAATTGTCTATTAGATACGTTATTAAATACAATATTTCACGACAATTCTCGTAATGGTTAAAGATTGAAAAGTATGAACGCATGAGAGATGCATAATTGGAATAAATGTCAGAGAGAAATAAAGCTCAATGATTAAAGTTAAAACAAAAGTTTCCGTTGAAAGATAAAAAGCCTTTTTATCAGTGATATTAAAGTGAAAAATTATTGGAAGATTGATAGTAAAAGCATGCATTGCGATTTGTATTCAAAAATAACACGTCTGTGAAAAAAAAATAAAGATTGAAAATAAAGAGATATTTTGGATCGACAGATTGCGTAAGATTTTTTGGGATGGCCGTGAGCAACAGAAAGTAGGAGCGTCAGAGAGCGAGTAAATAAACCGTGACATCGAGGAAACGAGAGCGGAGCTCTAACAACTTTGACATGTACTCTTGATTTGGCTAATCAAGCGAGAAAAAAATAGGGGATAGAACTTGTCCGAGTTTAACTAACTGGCTGGGTTTGCTCATCGTTGCACGGAACAAAGATTCGCGCATTTCGCCATTGTTGGATACGCACTAGATGACGTCAGTCCTTATCGCCCGGAGATACAGACAGGATAATCAAATCCACGAGATAACGCGGAATTTACATGCTAGCTCGCCAATAGCCGCGAAAACAGTAATCAAATACTATTAAAATTATATGTTTAATTGAATGTTGAATTATATGTTAAATATATGTTTGAATTAAAAACTTATTTTTAGTCGAAAATTTTCATAGTGCAAAATGTATTTCGTACATGAGAGGAAAAAAGGAAAAGGAGGAATAATTTTTTTTATTTTATTTATTTATTTTTTTATTTAAAATATATTCTTGATATATGTATAATTGAAAAATATGATGAAATTCTTATTTTAATTCTGAAATGTATTCGTCTAACGCAGAAAATATTTTTTTAGGCATCGACGATCGATGGCCGTCGAAAGGGCGCCTGTCTTTTCTGTCAGGAGTATTTTATGGATTTGTACCTCCTGGCAGAACTGAAGACGATTTCTCTGAAGGTGACCACCGTGGACATGCAAAAGCCGCCGCCTGATTTCCGCACCAATTTCCAGGCCACTCCGCCGCCCATCTTGATCGATAACGGCGATGCGATATTGGAGAACGAGAAGATCGAGCGACACATCATGAAGAATATCCCTGGCGGGCATAATCTATTCGTACAGGATAAGGAAGTGGCTACTCTCGTGGAAAACTTGTTTAGCGTGAGTGTCATTTAATCAGAATCGAAAGTGAAATCGATCGAGAAATCAAACTGTTGAATTGTATGTCTCCTTTTCTGATGAGAGAGAAATTACATGTGTTGGTTTCGTTGATTGCAGAAACTCAAGTTGCTGCTGTTGAATGCGAAGGACAAGGACAAGGATCCCAAGTCTTCGTCGCTGATGGCGCATCTACGTAAGATTGATGAGCATCTAGGTCGCAAGGGCACGCGCTTCCTTACCGGCGACACCATGTGCTGCTTCGACTGCGAACTGATGCCGCGGCTGCAACACATCAGGGTCGCCGGCAAGTATTTTGCCGACTTTGAGATACCGGAGACTCTGGTGCACTTGTGGCGGTACATGCATCATATGTATAGGCTCGACGCTTTTCTACAGAGCTGCCCGGCCGATCAGGATATCATTAACCACTACAAATTGCAACAGGTGAGGCGCGCGAGTCGACCTCTAATTACATGCTAGTTGTCGGCTGAATTGAATAATTAGCAGTCTTCGATGAATGCCTTTAATTTGCACCCACGCTTCTCACGATGACGCAATTATTACATTCGCTGTGCGCGCTAAATTGTGACTTTCCCACGTTCGTCGATATAATTAAAACGAATTTCTGATCATTGCAGAGTATGAAAATGAAGAAGCACGAGGAGCTGGAGACACCGACCTTCACCACAAGTATCCCGATCGAAGTCAACGATGATTAGACTGGACCTTCATCGAGTCTGCGATCACGTGACTTTGATTAGACATCGAGATCGAGACTTGTAGCGAAACGGCGAATTAACTTGACAGAGTTTCAATGGCATGCGCATTTTGTAATTTAATATCCATCATTAGTATCTCAAAAACAAAGAGGAATGTTTCCATTGGAACTCATGTCTTTCCAGCTGCCAGTGTTCGTGTCGTCGCCGCATCATTGATCGATTCATACCTTTTTGCTAAGCAATCATTGCTGAATCTAATCCCTTTTTCGGGATAAAGTCAGGTGTAAACAGATTAGCTTTTTTACTGCAAACGACGCGACAACATATATAAGTGCATTAAGACTTTAAGTCTTAGTATCGATACAATGTCGATTTTCTTCATTTTTCTTCTTTTTTTTCCACTATGTATGGTATGCATACGTAGTTTTGACCTGAGTAGTATTAGCAAGATTTTAATTTGCTATTATTCAATTAATTAATTAAGATTAGGAGAAACTATCATGATTTTGCCATTTTCTAACGGCAACATTCATGGAAACTAATATCAAGAATGCAAAAGAAACGTATGCGTTCGAGAGAATCGGGTGCCATTATTATATTTTTGCAATTTTAATAAAAGTTATCTCTGAATAATTATTTCAATTATTCTTAAATATTGTTCTTATAAAAAGATAAAACGTAAGTAAAGTTGGTAAGATATATAGAAAATGTTTGAGAGATATAAAATATTTCAATATCATTTTTAAATTTGTGCATAACTTGTTTTTATAAATAAGTTCGATATTTTTCTTATTATCATTGCTACTCCTGTTATATCATAAATCATTATAAGAAGATATTTAAGCATAATCGAAACATTTGCATTTAATGAAAAGGATAGCGAATTCAGAATCATTTTTTAATGCGGCTTGATGTTCTTAACACGATTGCTCGAAGAACACACATTATCGATATACGTAGAAAAAAAACGTTTCGCTCTATTTTACAAGATATATGATCCAGAGTGCGTACGTTTCTTCTGAATTCCGTAATGTAGGTATCTTGTTATATTCCCGTTTCATTGTTAGCACTTTTAGTGATTTTTACAAATGAAAAACGAGTATCGCGTAGGCGATGTTTTCCAGTCGAAAGCATTTAAAATAACGGCATTCAGAAGCATCGACTCTGCTTATTTCCGCACTAATACACAATCCACTGTTCCAGAAAATAGAAAACGAGCGATTTTATATTCGTAAGCAACTGTCTATTTCCGCATTGGTAATTCTATTATTATTATTGCTATTATTATTACTATTGTATTATTAATTTTGGTTTATATATCCATAAAAATCAATATACCAGTGTTTACATTTAATGCCTAATATCCTATCATTTATTACGGCAAAGAATATAAGATGTAAGTTAAGTTTTCAAATCTATAATATGTTGTTTTTATGGGCGTTATATTTTTTCTTGTTAAATATACGTACTATATTAATATTTTATATTTTGTGATATTATGGATAGAGAGCGATTAAGCATATGGGATTTTTTTATTTAAAAATTAATCAATAATACAGGAACGTAATATTTAAATAAATAAACATCGTGTTTTAAGAAACAATTCAAAGAAAAAAGTAAAGTGCAAATCAACAAACAATATGCAACAAAAATTAATTTAAAAAATCCTTCAAAATTGTATCATCTGTAAAATTATGTGAAATTATAAAAAGTATTATTAGTATAAGATAGTTAACTTTTATGCGAATTCTCTTTATTTTTCGATAATTTTAGTGTTGCTAATTTCACAATTTTTTTCCGCGAAAGAGAGACTCGACCAACTCTCGAAGGCGAGAGAGAAATTTACGGAACTGGATACGATCGGAGGGAGGATAAAAAAAGGAGGAGGACCGTATCCGTCGCGTTGCGCGTCTATCCGCGTCTCGTACGCGCTTGAAAATAGCACGCATCGCCGTCCCTTCTCTTCGCGGCGAGCTATTATGACGCGTCTCCCATTCATAAATAGAGACGCGCCGCCATCTTGACTGCGCGATCGCGCGAGTTCCCATCGCGATTCGTGCCGTCGTCGTTACCCGCGATCGTCTCGCTCGCGAAAAATCGGCCGAGGCATTTTCGCGCCGAGAGACGCCGTGCGTCGCGTCGAATCGCGCGCGCAAACGTCGCGGATCCACTCGAGCGGAAGTCGCGGCGCGGTGGTCGGTACGCAGTGCACAGCTGATCAGTGGCCCCGACGGACGGTAGCCGTTCGGCTCGTCGCGAGTCTGTCCGACGCGAAGGAGCGCGAGAAAGGAGGACGGGACGCGAGCGAGTGTACAACGGTGACAGGTGAAAGCTCCGGGGGACGGGGAGGACGATACTCCGATAAAGCGCGCGCGGATCCCAGGGGCGATCATCCAGGAGGTGGTCCCTGCCTTTCGGCCGAAGCGTGGGTGCTGTTCGCGGCGACGAGGAAAAGAAGCGAGGAAGTGGTGCACAACGTCGCAGCCCGCTCGTCGGACGTTTCCGATGGTTGCCGTCCGGTAAGTGTCGAGATCGCCGATCGCAGGGGTCTGAAAATTGGGCCGATCATCGTCGTCGTCGTCAGCGACGTGGACGACGGCGGCGTCGCTCGTGATAAAGAGGGGAGGAGGAAGGTGCGCGGTGCGGAGCGCGCTCTGACTTTTACTCGAATACCCCGCGCGGCACGAAAATACACCTGCGATGGAATGCATCGGATGGATACACGCCGCAACAACAATGCGCTGCCGTGATTCGGCCATCGTTCCCTTCGGCTACGCGTTTCGTTTGCGTCTCTCTTCCCTCCCTCGCTTCCCTCTCCTCCGACGCTGTTGAAAATTGTGTGTGTGTAACTTGTAATTATTTCACTCTGAAAATACACATATATTATTTATATACATATAAAAAGCGTAGCGCAGAAATAGGTTATCGCGAAACCGGTAGGGCTATCTTTAACGCGTCTACGCCGATGCCCTGCATCAGACGCGGAAAAATGCTCGCCGAGGTCATCGGTTTCAATGATTGCGCAAACGATTTATGGAGATAATCTATCACTCGAAGGCCGATACTCTCAAACTTCGTACGTGGTTCAGAATTATTTGTCGCGTATAAAAACGCAACAGAGGCGAACGTAAACAAACCGGAGGGCTTCATTTAACACCAATCGATCCATTAACGATTCTTGACTTACGCTGACTTTTGCTGAAATAAATTTACGCCTCAAATGCAATGATCAGGTAAATTATAGTCATTTCGTACAGACAAGAATGGCAGATGGAATTTTCGACAGAATATAGGATTTTTTCTCTCGTGACGTCGTAATAAATATTTTACATTTTAATTGCGAAACACGAAATGAAACGAATGCACTTCTCTATTTGACTAAGAGATGGAAATGAGAAGGCGAAGTGTATTAGTTGTACAACAGCGCGAGCAGTCTGTATCACTGCATCATTTTAACGTTCCGCCATAAAACAAATGTATCGCGTGCCTGTCATAACAAGCTCGCGGTGAAGCGTTACATCTCTCGCTGCGTCGGTTTATTTAAAGTCGGAGTACATACTAGCGACGATTGGCCAACGGGGCCAGGTGCTCGTCTCCTGCGATTGAGACGTCCTGGGGCGCCGATTGATGCGCTACGATGTGTTGAACTTGGAGCGAATCTCGATCGCAAAATCAAATCTCAATCCCACGCAAATCTTATACCTCAGTATACCATAAAAGTTTAATCGTTAAAAAAGAGCGTAGAATTTTTAATTTCTGTTAAAAGGAATTTGCCGGAGAATTTCAATTTTTACTTCGTCACGATTTCTTTTATCGATATAACATTTTAATATCATCAATATTAATGTGAAACGTCGAAAGAGATGTAATTTGATCGATACTATTATTCATCTCAATCTTTTGTATTATTTTTTATTTGCGATAAAAATCTATTAAAATTCCTACAACTCAGGAATCTAATAAATTCTAATAAATTTGATTTTTAATTATGTAGGTTTAATCTAAATTTAAGAAAATAATCTCTTTGACAAAGTACAATTTTTTCGCGGGCACTTTTATTCTTGACAAAAGTCAAGCTTTCTCTGCTTTGAATAAAGAAAGAAATACAAATACATTATAAATAGATGAAAGGAGAGCCATAGAGTAAGAAAAGTGCAATATATAATTTTTATAATTAAAAAACAATTTTATTGATATGTTTCGATCTCAAATTTGGACACACATTCTCGACAAAATAAAAAAACCGATATCCGATGTACTTATGCTCTTGGATTTCCTAATAAGCGATTATGTTTATATTACATTTTCTACATTACTACATTTAATATATTTTCTTGTTCGATTCTTATCTTTATCGTCTTTTTCTAGCTGCATTTCACTCGCTATATCTGTTATGATACATTTTATTACCAACATTTTCGTATTATTTTTGTTGCTGATGAGTATCGTCTTTCTTGTAGCTGACACCTTTTGAAGACTTATCGCGTTAATATTTGTGAATCGATACCCTGACATTCCTTTGACTTCAAAACATGACTTTGAATATCAATCTTTTTTTATTTTACTAAAGATGTATGTGATCCAAATTTAAGCTCGAAATATATCAATAAAATTCTTTTTTAATTATAAAAATTATATATTATTTTTCTTACTGCTCTCTGGCTCTCTTTTCGCTCACTTATATTACGTTTATATTTTTATATTTCTACTAGAGTCTTTTCTCATCGTATTTTCTTTAATAAAAAAAATATTTATTGTTTTCTCCGCGAAATGATCGACGAAGATTGTACAATCGCAAGTGAATTAGCCGTCAAACTTGCTCGGCAATTTCGCTTCATAATTCAATTAGGATACGCGTGCAAATAGACAATTTGCGACGAATATTTGTGAAAATTTTCGGGATGATTGCACGTTGTGTATGGAATTTGGATTTAAAAACAAATAATCTATATCTGAATGATTTTTAATGAAAAATCAATTTTTAGGAGCGATTGATGAATTATGTCTGTAATTATGAAGGTGGTTGTACAAATTTTTTTGCACAGTTTTTGCTTTGAGATGATTAAATTATCGTTTTGACGAATTAAAAGTATATTTTAACTAAATTAATCGCGTGAATTATTTTAAATATATTTAACAATATAATTTAATTAACTTAATAATTATGGAAATGTCCAGTAAAATATTTACAGATGTAAGACGACGGTTTGCGGATTTTCGCACGAGAGGGAAAAAGCGCGATATTGTTTTCAATATGGATGGCGTTTATTTTTGCCGCGCGACTTATCGTAGGGATCTGGTTAACGTTAACGGTGCGTCTCGCCCGTCAATTATTATTCCTGGTTCCTTATTTTCGTCTGGTGGCCGACCCGACTTGACGCCTCCGACATACTTAAATTCCGCGACGCGGATTAGCTTTTGTCGTGTCGGATTTACCGGTCCAAGTAATATCAAATCGTGTATCGACTCTCCGGCTTTTCAACAACCTTTCAACTATCGCAACTGACACAATTTCGAAAAATGGAATCGATGAATAGTGATGTCAAATTTGTGAAATGTCTAATTTATTTGTAAAAATATCCGATATATTTGTAAAAAGAAATATTCAAAGAAACTTTATAGAATCTTAGAATAGACACGAAGAGCACGACTCTGAATTGCTATTAACGGTTCATTACGTTCGTACGTCGCTGTGCTAATGAAACGTTATTACGTGCAATTAGCTCCTGTAACTATTGCGAAGCAACAGGTGCCCGACAGCCGTATTTTGTAACTTCAAAGACTCATCGTGCAATCTGTCATATAACTCGTGGCGATAAAAAAACAACTCGTAGTCGTTACCGTTCCGCCGAATCTGTGACTTTCGACGGGTTCTCGCTCTTCTCTCCGCAGAAAATTACGCGGGGATCGTCTGTTTTCGCGACACCTGCGCAAAATAATCCCCGATAGTTTAGTTAGTTCGACGCTTTCGGGTCTACCGAGGATTTTGTAGGGACTCCTGCTCGGATTTCTCGAAGAGGCGGATTTCCGCGGCGCTTAAAAATAATTCCGCGCAGAATAAAAGAAAAGGGAAGACGCGGTGTGGAAATACCGGGCGGAATCCACCGCTTTTCCTCGTGTTTCTACACGGAGCCAGACGAAAACAGCCGCGCTGCGCGTGTCTCCTCGGTATTTCATGACACAAATATCTTCTCGGCAGCCTGGAATTCCGCTTTTCCTTTTTCGCTTGTCCCGACGCGAACGGCGCTTTCGTTTCTCCTCTTAAAACGTTCCCGTCGCCGACAAACGCTCCGACTTTCCGCGATAAATTGTCTCTGTTTTTCTGTCAATAAGGGAACTTGCTTCGCCCCAGCCGCGATTTTATCCTCTTACCGGAAAAGTGAAGCTCGAAAATGTAAAGTATTTCAACTGTAATATATCTCTATCCACCTACGAATTCTTTGAACAACTTGAAATGGAGTTCTCTTTCGAAATTTGACCGCGATAAAAGCTTATTTCTTGATTTTGTATCAAATTTACATTTATGTTCATGTACATTTATTTTCATTATTATATTTATTTTTATAATTAACTATAAAATTGAAATTTTATTAAAAAGCTTGAGCTAACTTCCGGTTTAAATAATTTTGTGGAAAAGATTCTTCATCTTCGATCTGTTATACGTTTAATTTTGAATCCATGCTTCTCACGATAATTATTCTGTTTAATCTATCGCACGATGGTGGCATCTGATCACGTTCTACGCCATTGAAAAAGTGCCTTTGGCACGAACAGGTTGATTTATTCGGCTGGTTGTGCGCGAGATTCGTGAACAGGGACCGGAACGAATTCGCGTAGCCCACCATCTTCGAGTGTCATCTGCCCACTCGCATTTATTTGCATTTCGCTCATTTACATATAGACTTGATTTCGAAAATCTCAAGAAAGAGAGTGAATTTCTTGCCAAAGACCGTCGGCGTAGGAATGGAAGATTAAATAAATCTAAAATAATGTCCGGAGAAACGATTATTCTTGCATAAAAAATTTCTATCATGCAAAAAGGAAACATTATTTAAGTCCTCATCAATCTTTTCTCATAAATTCTAAAAAAAATCTGTATTTTTAAATATGAAAGCTACGTCTAGAGAAGTAGAGGAAAATATATGTATAATAGTTTCTAGAGATACAGATGCATGGAAGATGTAGCTATGTCGAATTGAATCCAATTAATTGTATAATTAATTTAAGAATAGGAAAAACGACAGATAATGCAAAATTGTATACAATTTGCGCCACGTGCCACTTTTCTCTCTGATTGATGCCTCACTCGCTCGATCCGCCCTCTCGCCAGGTGCGAGATGGAAGAAAAGGAAACGGCGAAGATTATTAATTCCCTCTAGCACTTTATTTCACCGCGTGGCCGTGTGCCAAATGCGAATCCCGAATGCGACCGAAGCTTTTTCGTCTCCCCCAAAGTCTTTTCCAATCGAATTGGCGTCGCGCGCAACGTTTGCCAAATCGAGCTCTTGTGAGTGCAATCAAATGTAAATCATTGCATTCTCTAAAAGCATTCCTTTAAAATTAATTTGAAAAAGAAGTCGACGGTATTATTACAGAAGAAAATATTTTTTTCCGTTTTTTTTATTATCAAATATTATATACACTGGTCTCGCGCGCATATTTTGACGTCATCATTGTCATTGCATTTTTTATATTTTTGATTCTTATAAATATTTTTACCCCTCTTTTTAAGGTAATATTTATTTAGATAATATTAATTTTTTATGATATATATATATATATATATATATATATATTAATTTTTTTAGGATAATAATTTAATTATATTTTAATTTATTATTATTGACATAATGCCGTTTATAAATTTTTTTTGTCGCGATTAGTTACATTCTCGCGCAAGCGTCTTTTTTCGCAAATAAACTTATCCGCAAAATTGCATCATGTCTTTACAGTACCGGCTAATTATGCGACACTATTACGTGCCTTACTGCACAGGTGTCTATCGTCTTCCTACGTAGCTGCCAATTCCGCGATGTAACGGGTGTCGTAGAACGATCGGTCGTTGGAATAGGTCAGAATTTCAAATTAGCCGCGCAGATTTTGGCAGTTTTTGACAAAAAATCCTGCGATGATTCAACTCGTGCGTAAGCATACATATTTAGATTTCTTCTGATCGTATGATTTTATATAGTTGCTACTTTTTAATTATTATTTCCAAGAAAGATATGTATTAACAAAAGCATACATTGTATATACATATTCTAATATTTATATATATCATTATATACATTGTATATAATGATATATATAAATATTAGAATATAAATGAAATATATTTTATAATTCAGATCTGAATTCAATCACGCTATTTCAGTAGACCGATAATATCAATTGTATTTCGATTTATGATCTTTGCGGGAAAACAATGTAAGCTTGTAGATGACGTAGCAGAATATAAATAAATTCTTTCTGGAAGGAGAGATAACGTGGACTTTCCAATATTGAGAAAAACAATTCGTTGTTCAACTTGTGCGTTACTCTTGAAAAATGACTTAGTCAGCCGAGTTTATAAATACAATAAGATTATGCTATTGAAAGAGCGAGGAAGCTTTCGTCTCTCTTGGCATGAAGGGGTAAAGGCAAGTTTCAAGAGTAACGTACTACATCTGCCGAATCTCCTCCCAAGGAAAAAAAGAAAAAGAAAGAGAGAAAGAGAAAAAAAAGAGAGAGAGAAAAAAAAATAAGTGTGTGTGTGTGGGTGTGCGTGTGCACTTTTGACATTTCCCAATTGTCAGGTTCCACGGTCTTTCTTCTAATCTTTTTCCCGTCATTATCGCACATGATCGAGTCATAGAAAGTCCACCGGTCGTCATTTTCACGCTCTCATTCAACTTTCTATCAGACAATCAGACGCGATGTCGTTCGAGATCGTCGAGATCGTCCCGGCAAGTCTACAAAGATTCGATCTGGATGCGGCCCAACTCGCTTATACAATAAATTACAAAATATCCAAGTTTCTGGGAAAGCTTCCGGATCGCGTTATTACGAGAGAACTCTTGGCTCGTCTTTCATTATCGCAACGATCATTACAAAAGACGAGAGAACCCTCTTGGCTCGTGTCAGCCATTAATAGCGTAAAATTTACGGGAATCGGCGACCGACTGTTTTGTATCGGTTTGACACGGCGAGACGTCCAAATGTAACGATAATACGTGGCACCTGCAGGTAGAGGCCCTGCCAGGAGGATGGGGGCCCACGATGGGGGAGTGCCACTGCTCTAACATCACTATCATGCAGCTGTTCCACGAGCTGAAGCAGCAGTTCCCCGCGCTCCCTGATCACGTCGTCTCCCAGTGCATCGCCCAGGTATACAGGTGGCCTTTGTCCGTCAGGAGTGTGGCCCTATTAAACATCCCCAGCTCCATATCTCTCAAGCACCCGAGAGAGAATCACTAAAACTAACTCCGCGTCTCCCTAATTGCCTCAATAACGACTAACTGGCGCTTAACACGGTTTACGATGTACGATTTAATGAGAATTGGCAATCTCTCCTCGCCTCTTTCCTCGCCTGTATCATGCATATCGTTGAATCCATTTGCACGAGCGTGGAACCTATGTATATCTTATTTAAGTAGGCTGTTCTCCACAGAATTATGGATATACTTCTTGCTTTTAAATTCTTTAGCCGATTTGGAAATGATGTTTTCTCGATAATACACATTTTTATTAAATTAAATTAAATTTTAGAATAAAATAAATGACAAAAGAAGTTTTTTAAATTAATTCTAAGTTTAATCGAAATCTTAAATCAAGACTTAGTAAAAATTAATATGACAATAAAAATTGGAAAGGAATATAATAAACCATGATATTTCCGTTTTCCTCAACATCGATGAAAGATTGCATCCAAATTGGCCGAGGAAATTACAAAATATCCGATGTTTTTAGAATATTGTATACAAATCTTTCTCAGCATCACACAAACATGTACGTGCGATGTCCGGGATAATTGTAAGCAATCGCGCGAGGCAATCGTGTTCAAATTCGGAACGCGGCGAGGAAGCCGAAGAGACATGGAACGCGAGCCCGAACTGCGTTCCGCGGTATATCTCCGATATCTGGAAAAATGGACATTTCATCGGAGAGATGAACACCGGAGAGATGAACCCGCTGACCATAGATACGTGTGCGTTGCAGAACAGCCACGACCGGGAGATATGCGCGAGGAGCCTGCGGGCCACCCAGGAGTCCCGTCCGTCGCCGGGCGCGTTTCCACCGCCGGCCCCTTGCATCGGGGTGCAACAACAACAACAACAACAACAACAGCCGTCGTCTCCGCCGCAACAACGAGATCAGCAACGTTGCTGCGCGATGAATCAGGTACAGCAACAGCAACGCGGCATCGCGGTCGGCGTCAGGCGTCCTCATCGACCGGCGTCGTTGGACATCGGTATGACACGTCGTTGCATCCCCCCCGTCGTAGGCTGCATCCGCGCCGCCACCGTCGCGACGTCGTCCACGGCGTCGTCGAACCCCCTCGTCACAACCCCGTCGTCCGCACCTGCCGTCTGCACGTCGCGCGGCTTCTTCGACGACGGTTGCACCGTCAATAGCAACGGCAGCAACGTGCCGCCCGGCTTCGAGCTCAACGTCAACGTCGCCTGCAGCCCCGCGGGCAATCGCGGTACGGATGCTGTCGTTGCTGAAATTGACATCGTATTCGCAATATTTAACGTCATAGCGTCTTTAATTCCGTCAGTTTATATAGTGGACTAAATCAAAAATATGAGTCTAAAGAGGAAATTTCTTAAAATAATATAAATTAATTTCCTCCAGCGAGATATTTCTAGTAGATTTCAATAATAGATTTGTAGAGTAGCTGGGTATCAGTATCGAACGTTAAATATGTGATACGATTAAGCGAATTTAAAAATCAAAAACGATGGTATCGAATCAAAAGTGATCGCGGCACGTAATGAGGATTTTATCTGGCTCCTGATAATCGTAAAGATAAATAGGATGTCTACGGTTGTGAAAAATAATTAAGCGGATAGTAAAGCGTTTTCTTCTCGGAAAGACGGAATCGTTATCTTATCATTATTGGAGATACTATTTTGGATATCATTTTTATTATTCGCGCTCATAATAAGGCCTCACAATCATTATTCAGAAATTCGAACGGACCAGTTCGCAAGTTTATTTCGATGCGGACATACACCGTCGACTTCTTTTGATTTTAGCCATCGGCTCTAAAGTCGCGAAAATTATTGAAAAAATAAAATTGTAGACCAACATTTAATTGTAATTTTGCACCAACAGATTTTCGAACGGTACCGATTATCGGTACCTGTAAACGAAGCGACCTCGTCGTCGTGCCACGACCTCATTACGCCGAACCTCTGTTAGCCGTTGGAAAGCCCGGGACGCAAATCGATCACACGCGAAGTTACACCTCGGTCAGCTTGACCCTCAGACCGCCTTCTTCCGAGCCGCAACCCCCGATCGATATCAGATCAGAAGGATCGAGCCTGACTTACTCGACCTCGTCCCTGGATCCACGTGGCTTTCAGAGCCGCCTGCAGATCAGCATTGGTCCTGGAAACGTCGGTAGCGTGGCGGCGGCCAGGATAAGACCTCCGATGGCCAACAGCCTATTACCGTCAACTCAAACGAGTCCACAGCGGCCACCTGGTACGTTTCTCGTTTCGGACAATATAGTCCAATTTGCCAATAAACTTTGTTCTCCGTCCTTTTGTTCAATTCCGAACGGCTAGATTAGAAAGAGTTTCATGGCAAGATTTCTCGGTGGATTGTCGCTGCCTTCCAAGAGAGGAGCAAGCGTATACAATTTTTCGGTTCTACCGAGAATCGAACCGGGACTTTTGCTTTTGTAGGCTAGTAAACTGCCTACTGTGCCACACTTCGCTCAAATAAATTTTACTAGAGTTTAATTTATATATACTTTTAAAAAAAGATATTTATCTAGAGAGATGTATTATAAGAACATATACATGTATAAAAATATAGAAACGTGCGTATAATATAATATAATATTTAAATTATATATATATATATATATATATATATATAATTTAAATATATATATATATATATATATATATATATATATAAAGTATACGCGGAGAATTTATCAGTATAAAATGCATAACTATTAACTTTAATAAAATCGTAGGCAAGATCTCGTCTAGATTGTCAAAGAATCTTTTGCTAAGATTTGTCAAAGAATCTTTTGCTAAAATTAACCCAGAATTTTTTTCATTTGCATCGCTCCCAGGACTTCCGCCAGGACCGCCGAGCCAGCTGCCAAGACCGACGACAACGACGATGAGCGCGCCGACTACACCCTCTGTACCGCCAACGACAACGAATATCGTTCCAATTTGCAGTCTCCCGACGACGCCTTGCGCACCCACGACGATCGGCATCGTATCTCCCTCCAGTGCCAGTGTTGGGGATCATACGCAGTCCACTTCCGATCAGAACCGATCGCCGTTGAGTCAAAGTAATGCCGGAACGACGACAAGCTTTCCCACTTCGAGTTCTGCAGCTATAGCGTTGCAGAAGCGCGCGCACGTGTATATTTACCTGGAAGTCACTCGGTCGCACGTACTACTCCCACGCACGCAACACCGAGAACGTTATTTACGCATTCCTGACCCCACGCTTCGGGCTATACATAGCCGCACATCGCGGTTACAGCTACGCGGACCACCTGATCCGGTTTTTCTGATCGCGAGAGTTCGTGCGTTTCCTGAACGCCGCTACGTTCCTGCGTTAAACGCACCCGTGGCCTTCGGTCTTTTTTTCGCGATCAATGAAGAAATACGATTATAATGTTGTTTATGACGCAGATATAACACGTGTTTTTTTTATCTATGCAGATACGAGAGCTATTAAAACTACTTTAAGTCGTATTATCATCACGGTTAATAAAATTGTACTAAAGCGAAGCGTAATATAATAAAATTAACGAATCGCGACTGCGGCAATGTCATCACTCGCGGTGTAGGTAATAGAATAAGAAAGTCGTTGTAGTTAAAGCACTAAAGCTTTGAGGCGATTCGGCTCGCTTTTGTCTGTCTAGGCAGTTAAAAATATTATTAAAATTTTTAGTGACGGAGCACCAAAAGAAATTGATCGCGGAACAATTGGTTAGAAAAGAAAGGCTCGCCAGAGAATTAAGAGTCGAGAAGGGACGACTCGAAGCGATGAAGAAGGAAGTACAAGCTCTCACCAAACCAATGGATCCTTTAGTATCCCCTCAAGTATGTACAGCAAAGAAGAATGCATGATATGATATCATTTTGATATGTATTTTAATGCGAAATTTTTGCAGGAGCGGAAAAAACGGCTAAGGAGCGAAATATATATGCTACAGGTCGAGTGTGATAGGTTGGCCGATCAAGTGGATCAATGGTCAGACAGACGAGGTATTTACTTTTTATTGTGCTGTCACAATAAAATCTCATATAAAGTTATAAGCAATTCGTAAGTAGATCGAATAATTGTGCTTTTAGTACCACTGGGCGAAACCAACGAGGAGTTTTATCAGAGCATTTATACCGGCCAGCCATTGCCGACAAGACCGTTAAATATACCGCCACCTTTGCCGAGTCAACCTCCAGTGTGGCAATCGGAACAACCGACGACAATCGGGAGCGATAATGAACGGGACGAGCCATCGTGGGTCTGCACTATGTGTACTTTCGACAATCATCCGCTAATGAACAAGTGCGAGGAGTGCGACATGCCGAGACTGTTGACCCCTAGCGATAGTGCAGGTACAGTGCACGGCATGTCGCCAGAAACGATGCTATCAACCTTGTTGTTGTCGTCGTCCTCGTCGGCAGCGGCTCGTTATGATCGTGTTGAACCTCCTTCAATACCACTCCAGCCACCTGGAATAGAATAACTTGTTGCCTAATAGCATGTTGTTTATTTGTGATATAATCTCTGTGAAAACTTATAAGGTTATTTCACAATTGACGGATTAAACGCTCATTATTCGAACTTTTAAAGTCGACGCGATGAAGTACTTATATAAAAGATATATTTTATTATCACAGTACTTTTACGAATCATCACATTATACTTTTCAGAAATTTTTAACAAGTATTAAAAAGCTATTGTTAAACTGTTATATAATTGTTATATAATTGTATACTTAATTATAATTAATTTTGATTTTGTTTTTAGCATAATAAAAGAGAACAAGATGTGTGCGGCTTTGTTTTTATTTGTTAAATATGCGTGTGTGATTTCGATATTGCATGATTTATTAACATTTGATTTACAAATTATATATTTTTTACCTGTTTTTAAGCATTAACATTGTTGATATAGCATTAATATTTTCTAGCAAAAAATATTTTAACTAATTTAAGGTAAGGAAAAGCATTGTATGTTTAATAATTATGTATGACACTTCATCGAATTTTATGGCATTACTATAAAGTGGATTTTTAATTTTCAGGGGAGACGCAAGATATTCATATACGAGTAACACATCATCACAATTTTTCGCCAAGACGTAAGTATCGCTTTTGTTGAAATGAGATTAATATTTTTATCAAATATAATACTATCTTCAAAAATAATTATTTCTACATATTATTTTTTCAGGTACAGTGCACAGTTGGGTGGTATGACGTGAACTGAATTAGAAATTTTAAAAAAACTGTACATATATAATTATATTATTTAAATTAAATAAATTTTTGTAGCGGCTCTAAGCGATTATAATAGAACATGTGACTAATGTAATAATTTAATTTTTTATTTGCAATTAGTGTGTATATTACACGTTATTACTTAATTAGTTCGCTCTGTAAAGTCTCTGTTTTCAAGTTGACACTAAATAACTAATTGGATAATTTTCCTGACATATTTCTCTTTCTCTAAAGAAATTTCTAGAACATTTAGATTTTCGCGTATCAACAATTCACACTAAGTGCTGATAACAAAAGATACATTTAACTACAAAATTTCCTTTTCTTCAGATTCTTATTTGTATAAAAATTATCGTATAAAATACAAAGTATATTTATAATAATTGTAACAACATTCCGTCATTATATAGCTGTACCCCTTTCCAAATTCAACTTTGTTTCCCGAGTATACTCGCCGTAGAATCTTTCCAGTTTCTGATTGAACTTTGCATTACGTTCATTAATGTAATCGATATCCGCGTCATCGTTATGCATTCTACGCCTACTATATTTCTCTCTTTTTGCGATTCTGTAAAAAAAAAGAAAGTGTGAAACATGAGTTATCAAAGATTTTTACTATAAAATATTAATTTTACTTACTGTTTTTCCAGATTGGTGACCATTTTGTCTATCGCTTCTTTTTTATCTTCGTGCAAGCCATGCAATATTGTATTTCGATCCCCATAAAAGGCAGGTCCCAACTTCTCCTTTGCTTCTTCGTAGGCTTCCATATTTGGTTTTATATTTTTCACCAATCTGTTATATGATCGTATCGCTGCTTGTTCATAATCTGAGAAACCTGGATCTGGATTTTGTTTGCTCCTCTTTTTCCTAGCTATTCTCTCTGCTTCTGTAGCGTCAATGTTTAGCAATTTGTTCCGTTCATAATCTTCGCCCTATAGAAAGTACAAATTAAGTAAATAAGTATTTATATATCTAAAAATGTAAGATTTCATTGACATCTGCTATATTACTTTAGTCTCTGCCTCTTTTCTAGCAGCTTCATCCTGCATTATCCATTCGGCCTGTCTCTTGCGAGACTCCCAATTAGCAGGTAACTTGTTTCTCTTATCCTCCTCTACAACTTCTTTGTGATTCTGCATTCTGGCTTCGTTCTGTTGAATCAATATGAATGATATAGATGTAGACAAACCAATAATATATTTTAATAGATTAATATATACATTTAAATAATATATTTTAATAGATTAATATATACATGTCTTGGGTAATTTGGAGCTGGAATTACCTAAATTATATCCAATAAATAAAGAGAGAAAAAGATGTTCAAAAATATTTGATTCTTTTAAAGTGATATTGATTATTCCAATTCCAAGAAATTAAATTATAAAATTTTCATAAGATATCTTTCACACAGGTTAATTTTCATTGATTGCAAGCTCACCCTCTTAGCGTGAAGATCTCTGAGCCGTTTCATTCTTTCTTGATATTTCGCTGTCGCGGATTGCGAAGACGATGCACTTGGTGCGGCATCATCCATGTTCAAACGCAATTGAATTGAATACAATTTCCAAGAAAACTCGTAAACTTCGCGACCACCAATGTAAAATAAATATCGACTTGTCAAGACCAACGAAGAGCCTGAACAGCGTCAACTGTGTCTACAAGTAGAACCACGTAGCCATATTCCAGAGCAGGAATTCCCGACCAACTGTCGATATAATCATTTTCCCTATCCCTATTATCACATTGTTACGAAATTTCATTGAACTCGAATTCCACGAAAGGAGCCATTATCGTCGAAAGCTCAGTGCTTTATAGTGCGCGACGTGACGTGGATTGATCCGACGAGAGGTTCCCAAACTTCGCTCGTCATCCAGTCGATTCACGTACCGGCCGATCGCTTCGGCCAAGTAGCCTTTACCAATAGATCCCTTTACCTCTCCGGAGGTCCCTCGCGCGATTTATCCTTCCATCTCGCTTCCCCTCCTTCCGATGCCCTCTCCTCGTCTATTCGACACTTTCTCTACGGGCTTTTCGAGATTCCCGCGGGTAGGGCGCGGACAGGTAGGGCAGGAAGCAAGGAGCAGGGACACGAGCGGGAACGTACGGGCGCGAAGGAGCAGAGGCGACGGAGCAGTGGAGCACGAGACGCATAAAGCGAGCGGAGGCGCGCGCGTACGCGACGTCGCGTCGCGCGAGGGCTGAGCGAGTGGTCGAGCAGCGCGTGGTGCGACGAGGAGGCCGAGAGAGCGCGGTATGGAGACCCTGGAGTCGAGCCGCATGTGCCGCCTGTGCGGCCAGCAGTCGGGCATCTCCATCAACATCTTCGACGAGAGCGAGAATCACGTCAAGAAGATCAACGCCGTGCTGCCGATCATGGTGCGTTGCTCACGTCCGCCTCTCGCTCGCTCTCTCTCTCTCTTTCTTTTTCTCTCTCTCTCTCTCTCTCTCTCCCTCCCCTCCCCTCCCTCTCTCTTCTCTTCTCTCCTCCGCATCTTCCGTTTCTCTACTACCTGATTCTCCCTCTACTACTCGGAGGGTACGCGCTTTCGTTCGCGTGTCTACGCCTTCTCGCCCTCGCGAAGGCTTATGACCGAAAAGCGTAAGCGCACCCTCGCATTCCCGCGAGGTCTCATTGTGAAACGCGAGCTCCGTTATTATTAGCCGCGCTTTATGCGGTTTCTTTCAATTCGCCCCCTTTTCATCTCTCCCCCTTCTCTCTTCGCCTTCAATGGCCACGTAGTCCCCGAATGAAGCGAACGAGGGTACCGTAATACGTTCTAGCGGGAGACGAAAAGGATTTTCGCGTTCGTTCAGACACGCGGGGATCGACGAGGGGGATAATGAATTCCGCGCGGGTGGCACGCACGTGGCTTTTTGTACGAATGGGACACGTGTTGTCGCTGACGCGACAACTTACATGGACTCGACGCGGGACGATAATCTCTTCCCGAGGACGGAATTATCGTTTTTTGATTAAATTATCGATTTGCAAAAGTGAGGTTATCGTCGTTTATGCGCGAAATATCAAGAATGTGGATTTCTATTGCGTAATTGAAGATTTCTTTACGTTGCGCAGACTTTTTGTATCGGCAAACTACTTTTGCATTTCTTTCGTTTAATTACACTTTTTAAGATTCTTTTTTTTCACATTGTTTTTTTATGATATTTTGGTGCATATCTTTTTTAAGTCTTCTATCTTTTAATCAAATATAAATTCAATCTACTCATTTTTTAACTTTTTTGATATTAGAAATTGAAATACAAAATTTATAATTACATATATATATATATATATATATATATATATATATATATATGTATAATAAATTGACTTATTATTGTCTGACTAGAGAGATATAATTATTAAAAGTTATAAAACATATAGTACAAAAATGTATAAGACCTCTATGTATTCGAAAGATAATTTAAAAATCTTTTGTTTATTATAATTTTCGCTTTATTAGAATATTAAATTTTGTTATTTATATATCCATTATATTAAAATAATAAGTAAGACTTTCGTTTTTATAAACATAAAACATTAAATGCATTAAATTATATACGCATTTTAAATATATAACTAATTTTATAAAATATACATATAATATATATTATTATATATATATATATATATATATATATATATAATTATATAAAATTTATTTAAAATATACATATATATATATATTTTAAATAAATTTTATATAATTATATATATATATATATATATATATATATATTATAATATATATTATATGTATATTTTATAAAATTAGTTATATATTTAAAATGCGTATATAATTTAATGCATTTAATGTTTTATGTTTATAAAAACGAAAGTCTTACTTATTATTTTAATATAATGGATATATAAATAACAAAATTTAATATTCTAATAAAGCGAAAATTATAATAAACAAAAGATTTTTAAATTATCTTTCGAATACATAGAGGTCTTATACATTTTTGTACTATATGTTTTATAACTTTTAATAATTATATCTCTCTAGTCAGACAATAATAAGTCAATTTATTTTCATGCAACATTATTCTTGGAATAATGAAAACAGTTTTAAGATATCTTCGAATTGACCAAATTATTTGCACACATCTTATATATTTGTAAATAAAAAAATTGATATTCCATAATTTATGACGATAAATATCAAATTAGACTACTTAATCATTCTGTTTTCGTAAATCTCAATGTATTATATATCGGGTATATACTCACATTTATATTTTTCTGTTTTTAAATTCTAAGATTTTGTAGACGATATGATTGGTATTCAAAGAAATGTAAATACATGATAAATTTTATAATGTGAAACACAAAAGCACGTATAAAGAAATGTATATTGCTGAATCGATTATGAGTCAGCGATAAACAATCAAGTCTATGTCGCTATTTGGATCTATTTTGGAGCTATTAGCGAGGTTGTGAGAATACCGCGATAATGTTAATGAACGGAAGTTTCCAAGCTTGTGCTGCGTGCTATTTACACAATTACATACGTACATCCATTACAAACATGATGATACACGCTCGATTATTTCTCATTTATCTCCTATAATTCGACAATTTGATCCTGCCGCTATCCTGAGAATTTCATAAAGATGCTCGATCAATTATTGAACAACAATTGCGCAACAATCGAAAGATTTATATAACGCTTTATTTTTTAGAGAAACTCTTGGAAACATAAATCTGTTGAGGAAATAAATTTCGTGAAAATTAATCTTTGATTAAAATTTTAAATTAATTTTTTTCACACTTTAAAATTAACTTCCCCTGTTTGGAAAAAAGAAAAAAAACAATTTAAATAAACGTAAAAAAACGCCAATGCGCGTTGATTGATCCTTTAAAAATTCACTGTTTCCGGAATCACGTCCTCTTGATTCGTATCCATTGTACGTTCTTCAGGTGCACGAGATGGACCTACTGCCGAAGCAGATGTGCCACCGGTGTAGTTACAAGCTGGAAGAGTTTCACAAGTTCTATGTGGACTGCCTGAAGACGGATGCGACGCTCAAAAGTCAGTTATCATGGATGCGAAAGGATCGGGACAAGGAGAAGATCGGCGTGCCGATGGTGCACATTGAGAACATGAAGATCAAGGCAGAATCGCTCGATTACGACGTATACGAGTTGGAGCCGCTGATAGAGAACATGGAATATATCAATTCGATGGCACTTCCTGCCGGCGGAATTCACAATGGATTAACATATGCGACCCTCTCGCGTTATCGATGTTGCTGTGATAAGAAGGACCAAAGTAGAGCAAAAAAAACTACGGCGGGATTCTGTCAGAATTATAGAGAATCCATATTTAAGTGCGGCGAGATCGCGAATGACTCGCGGAAGAGGACTCTTGTGGACGCTACCCCCAAATTAAGACCGATGAAGAAAAATACTTTTACGCAAGCGGAGTTTCCAGATTGCCCGCAGAATCACTTGTTGTGCGTTGATGCGGTCGAGAACGCGCAAGATCGTTTGACCGCAGATACGAACACCAAAGATGCATCTTCTCTGAATACGCGAAACTGTTCTTACGATAAACTCGAAACGATTCCTAAAAATCCAGCAGTTTCGAGAAGCACGATAGTGCGGAATTTGAGACCTAGGATAAATTTGGTGAACTATGCGTCGAACAAAAAAACGATAGTGCACAATTTGAGACCCAGGAATACTCTGGTCAACTATACGTCGAAGAAAAGGAAAACGTCGATTGATGCTAATTCGGGACCATCTATTATAGCAAGCAACTCGGAAATTTCTAATTCGAAAGCTACATTTGCATCTAATTTTAAGTTAACTAGACAGATCAAGGTAGAACAAATAGATGAGATGGAAGGGCGCAGTTTAAGACCAAGAAGAACCGTCGTGGATTACCAAGAACCGAAAATGAGAAAGGTATCAGATCACCGCACGAAGAGACGCAAGATGGAAGACGCGGAGCAGAATTCGAAGCCGCATTCGAAAAATGAAAATGCATCTTCGAATAAATTTGTTCTGAAGCTCAAGATAAAGCAGGAAGTTTTGGATGATCTGGAAGACACGGTGCTCAGTGAAATGACCAACGCGATACCCCGATTACCGAATAACTCGCTTGCTAATTTACCCGCAAAGGTCGAAGCAGTGACAAGCGATAACGATGTCAGTTCGCGAGATGACATGTCAGATTACTTCAAGTCGAATCATCCACAATTACGAAATAAGTTTCAACTAGCCAAGCAAAAGTCGTTGTCCAACATTATGAAGAACAAGCTAACGAAGACGAAGAAGATCTATCGATTGCCAGCAGCGAACTATTCACCAAAATGTCTGAGGAGCCAGGATGCTTTTCTGAGAAATGGCAAGGCGAGAAAAAAAGATTACATAGAATGGCCGGTGAAGAAGTTACAAACGAGAAAATTGATGGACATGGTCAATAAAAGCACGAAGCCAGCGGTGGTGAAACTGGCCGAGACCATTAAACACTATTGCGAGACGTGCAACGTCAGCTTCGCGAATAAGGAATTATTCAAACTACATAGGTGCTACTACGATTGATCTTTTTTCACGTAGCTGAATTCTCGTAAAATACAAAATTCACGAGTCATTTAAGGGATATTTAAAAGAGTACGAAAAAGTATGAAAATCTTTTAGATATCTTCTATATATGAGGGACATTCGAGAGACATATTTCGATTATATAAAAAAATAATTAAGGTATCATTTATCTTTAGTTATATGAAAATTTATTTCTATTTGCTAATTGTTTTGATGATTTCTTTTGTGACTTCCGGATGTACTGCTTTTAAAATGATATAAACACGCTTTGTCTAAATTTAATATGATATTCTATATAACGATAACGATAACGAGACGAAATTCTTATTTATGAGTTTGTGTGCTTATTTGAAAAAAAAATTTAATAAATTTCTTTATTTTTTGCAATGCTACATCATCTATATAATCTATATAATCGTCGATTTTTTAGATCTTTTTATTTGATTGCAATTTTCTTTTTTTATCATTAAAATTATCAATATAAATAAGCTCGAGGACAATAAATGGAAAAAAAACAGATTTGTTTGTATATATTGCACTTTGTTTAGAGATATAGTTTTTATCATCTGTTATTATCTTTATGTTTTTGCTATATCACTTGATTATGAACGAGAATATATATGGATACTTCATATATTTTATTTGTCGACTTATGTGGACATTAAACAATGACAACTGTTGTCATTATATGCTTAAGATTTTATGTAAGAAATTCACAAGTCGCCTTCAAAGATTAAAAAATAAATATACAAATATAGATAGAGATCTATTTTATGAAAAACAAGAGATATAAATATATGTCAATATATATATATTTCATAAGAGTATGTGATATATATATGTATATGGAAATAACGACCGATTTTTTGGAGAACTCAGTGTATTAATGTAATATATAATTGAGAAATTGTTCTTTTTACACTATTTAGGAATTTTATATATTAATACAATTACATTGTATATATTTTAACAATATTCGAAAAAAATCACTATTTGAAATTTTTATTAATTTTTCTTACAATTGTTGAACCAATCAAATTTTTTTACAATTGTCAATCCAAATCAACATTATGATGATATAATATATATTCATTAAATAATTAATTATATTTTAATTTCAGCAGCATGTTATATATAAAAATTAATATGTTATAAAATTTTCTACAATAATTATATGGATATTAACTGCGAATTAAGACAAGTTTTTATGTAATCTCTTATTGCAAAATGCTTCTCTGAATTATCTGTCCGTTAATATACAAATAGATGTTGTTATTCCCTAAAGATATATCTTTCTCATATCATTGAATTGATTAATAAATGTTACGCAACTGCATAAATTATATAATTGTTTATACAAAAAAAAAACATCCTGATCCCACATCATTTATCTTTTCATTAAAAAATATTTTTATTTTACACATATATGTGTGTATATAATATATTGCTATGTTAACACTATCGCATTTAATAATGCTACGTATTAAAGCGATAAAATGTACGAAGACAATAATTTATAATCTTACGTTGCATTATAATAATTATAATTTATCATTTTATAAATCGTTTTGAGAAAACAAAAATATTCTGCACAATATGCGATTTTATAATTTATGTAGAAGATAGAGAAATCAAATTTTTACGCATTTGTTTTTCACATATAAAATATCTAATTACTGATGAATAATTTTTCGTAATGCTAACATCAACTATATAATCGTTGACTTTTTCTATCTTTTTATTTGATTGAATTTTCCTTTTTTATCATTATTAAAGTTATCAATAAAATATATATTTTTTTTTACAAAAGAATCATTTTATTTTGCCGTGTTTCATTGCCTGAGCTACGGTAGCGTAGCGGCAACCAAGCGAATTACAGGTAACAAACAAACAAAAAGTATGGCAGGTGTCAAAGAATTTGGGGAAGATGACCGATTGTATACAGTGTTTTAAGTTAATTTCATTTGCGGCTAAACAGTGAAATGTCTTCGGATACTGTAAAATCGCCGCGAATCGAAGATGTAAGTTTCACTTTAGCGTTATTCGTACTCGCAAACTCTACGGGTGCTCATTTAACCTAAATCTATCACTGGAGACACAGTGTGTAGAGTGATATTTCAAAATTTTTTTCATTAGATGAAATAAACGAATGAGTGTTTTATATGTTAAAATTTTTTTTAGTTGATCTCCTCAGAAGATGATACTTTGGGATCCTCCGTAAGTCTGAGTGTTGGGGAGAATTCAGTGCGCATTAAGAAAAAAGCCAAATCTACCAAAGAAATTGAACAATTATTGGCTGATAAGAAACACACGCAAGATAAATGGTGGTTGAAGAGACCTGAAACACGCCTAGATATCTTAAGTGCCAAGAATGCGGACACAAAGATGAAGCAGTCTCCTACTCCTACATCGGATGTCAGCTCTTCCATGAAAGAGTTTCTTGAGAAAGAAAGGATGTGCAAAGTAATTGATTAAATCATATAATATATAATAAAATATCTCAGTTTAATTTTACAACAGAATTGCAAATATACTTATATATATACACACCATTGTTTCATGTTTTAAGATATTACTTTATCTGTTTTTTAGATAGCGTCGAAAAGCGAAGGAGAACTGAAAGACAAAGATGATACATTATGCGATATACTTGCATCTGCAGCTTTTGATAAATATCCATCAGATTTTGAAAGTAAGTTTTTATATAATATGTAGAAGCTTTACAAATTGGTATTTGTATTTGATTGATGTACTTTTGTTTGATGTAGATGCTACTGATGAAGATATTGGTAGTATATTGGAGGAAATGAGCAAGATTGCTGGTGCATTAAGTCCTAATTCAGGCCCTGAACGTACCAAATCTGTTGATTCCAGTAAGAATCCTACCGAAGAAGAAAAGTCAGTAGAAGAATTATTAGAGGAAGCCGAGAAATTAGTGAAGAAAAATAGTAATACTCTGTCAAAAAGTATATCCAAATCTGATACTTTAGTACCGGAAAATAATCAAGACGAAAGCCTCAATAGAGTAAGGCAATTAGAAGCTGATATTTTTCAATTAATAGAAGAAGAAGTTTATAAAGAAACAGAAAAGATAAAGAGAAGTCCGAAAAATGAGAAAAAACGAGAAAATAGTCCCGGATTTGAAATTGTTTATGAAAGCCTAAATAGTTTGAAACCACCAAAGACACTGGAACTTCAAAGGAAAAAGTTTGAGGAACAAAAAGTCGAAATATCGAGCAGTTCCGATTTGGATGATCCGATTGAGAGACATTCCAAGTCCGAGGAATTAAAAAGCACAAAGAAAATAGAAATAGAAAAGGAAAATCTGCAGAAGGAAATCACGGACGTAGACAAGAATTTTTTTGAAGATTTCTTAAGGAAATCCAAAGAAAAGGCGGAAGGTAGAATATCCGGGAGTTCCAGTTTCGGGCAAGAAGATTTCTCACATTTCTTGAAGCTGCTTCAAGGACAAAACATAGATAAGAAAGAGCCAGAATCAAAAGAACCTAATGTAGTCTATGATCTTTTGAAATCGACCAATGCAAATCGTGAACTATCCAATGTAGAGGATCAGCTAGTTAATGGCAAAACTCCCGAGTTTCCGGAAAAAGAATTTTCTGAGATATTAGGAAAGGAATTATCAGAGGCTAAAGGTGTACATGTTGAACATGAAATTAATGAAAGTGATTCCAGTGTTAGTGAAAGGCATTCTAAACGAGCATCTAGTTCTCCATTAATTGCGGCAACATTCTTGCAAAATTCTAATAAAAAATCTAAAAAATCTGTATCAACAGACGTAGAAAGAGAAAGTAATAAAAATATAACAGAAGACAATAAAAAGATGAATTCTGAAGGTGAATTATATACAGTGGGATTGACACCAAGATTAGAACTGTTTGCAGATGCAATACCCAAACTTATGGCTGAGAAATTAAGTGAAAATGTAAAAGAGAATGTAGAAAAGACAGATTTGGTGCATAAAAAATCTATATGCACAGAAGGAAAGATTGATACAAAAAAGGAAAATTTGGATATTGCCAAAGCATCCAAAGTTTCTAGGATGAATCATCAAGAAGTGTCTGGTCACAGTGTTTTGAAAAAAACAACAGATGTATGTAAAGCCGATCGCGTAGTTAGTGCACCGAGCAATAAGCAATTGAAGAAAGAAATAAGATTTTGTAAATCCAAGAGCTATGATCAAATATGCCAGCCTCCTCTGAGAACTTCTCTCGAAAATATCAGAGTTAACAAAGCATCAGATGCATCTAAGAAATCTGTAAATTTGGTTTCTAAAAAATCACCAATGGTAAAACCAAAAGTGCAATCCAGATCAATTCCTAAAACAATATCGAAGCCTAATGTATTTCCAAAACCAAAAATGGATTCTGCCAAAACCGGATCTACATCTAGTTTACCAGCTGCGTGCAAAGGCTCTCAATTAAAGTCGCCTGACAGTTACAGGAAAAATTTAATGGCTGCTGGAGATTCGAAACAGATTACCATGAAACGTGATTGGGAAATGTTATGCCGTGAGGAGAGGCATAGGAATGCGCTTCTAAAGCAACAATTGGAAGCCGAGGCGAAGCTGTATAAAAATCAAATCGAAGAGATGCGTACGTCCTTCGAGACTGAACTGTTTGCCTTGAAGAAACAGAATATAATTTTGAAAGCAAGAGTCGATGAGCTTTCTCTGAACGAGAGGCTCGTGGAAGTTCCAGTCAAGAATGATACAAAAATCATTCTTTTAGAACAAGAATTGGAAAAGCAGGAGAATCTAATCCGCGCTTACGAGACCGAAAACAAGAAATTGATACAAGATACCAAACGTATGCAAGAGGAATTGAAAAATTTGCAGTCAAAACAAAAGATTACGGTATCGGAGGCAAACGACATGCAACAGCTCACTGATCGGGTGAAAGATCTTCAGGAAGAGACATTGAAATTGAATCTCGAAGTGTCCGAATTAAAAGAGAAAAACGCCGATTGCTTACTGAAAAACGACGATTTGAATCAACAAAACAGTTTACTCACGGACGAATTGGAAATGTTCAAGGAGCAGTTGAGAGCAAAAAACAACTTCATTACAGATCGATTACAAGTGATGAGCACCGCGGAATTAGAACTGAAGAAACAGATAGAAGATTTAAGTATTAAATTGAGCTCAAAATCAGAGCACCTACGAGTAACGAAACAGGAGCTAGAGAAGTTTCAACGAGACGTATTGCCTTTAGAGAAAGAACTGATGGAACTCAGAATTAAGGAGGGAAATCTCCAGGAGAAATTGCATATAAGCAAGAGTCACATCGAACGTGAAAAGCAGCTGACTCAGAAACTCAAGGATCAAGTTATTCTAGACAATAAGAAAATCATAGATCTTAACAGGCAAGTACGCGAATTGGAGCGTATACTCAAGAGGAAGAATCCAGATTCAGTCTCGGCTCTCATATTGACTGCCAATTCGGAACAGGAAAAAATTGGTTCCGAGAAAGTAAAACTTCTGGAGGAAAGAATAGCGAGTCTCGAAAACGAGATTAAAGATAAGGAGAATATCGCGCAGCAAAATTTAGTTGACTTGCAGAAAAAATTTTCTGACATGAAGGAGAAATATATGACGCAGATAACGGAGTTGGAGGCGAAACTATTGGAAGCTACCGCAAAAGAACATAAGTTATATAATGACATGTTCACGCAGACAGTCAGGCATGTCGAGAGCAAAAGTGTCGAGACTAACAAGAGAGACGATAAAACTTCGGCGAAAGAAGAAGAGAAGAAAGATCAAAAGGCGATGAAGGTTGGACCAAAGTCTCAAAATCCTAAAGAGGACGCGCATCTTATCGCTACTATAAGAGGCTTGAAACTGGAAATCACGAATAAAGATAAAGCAATCTCGAAGATAACCAAGGAATATCAGGAGTTACAGAAGACGAACCGGAGATTGCAGAAGGAACGAGAGAAATTATTAAATGATCGGAGAAGTTTCAGAAGCATGGATTTTGAGAAAGCGTTTCGAGGAATGAAAAACGGCGAAGGAAACGATCAAAATTCAAATGTCTATCAAAACGGACACGTTTCTGACTCGCAAAGACTGTCGTCGTCGACACCAAAGTTGTACGATCCGATGCAGTACACGGAAAACGGCAAGAACGGTGTCATCAAAAAGTTAACTAATGAAAACGACATTTTGAAAGAAGAACTAAACAAGATAAACAAGGACTTTATGGCTCTAAAAAGCAAGAGACTACATGATTTGAATCTCTTGCAAGAGGAACACGAACGAGAAATGGCTACTCTTGTGAAAGAATATAGCATCAAATTTGGAGATTCTAAAGTGGTAAAGTTACAGGTTTGTAATGCTTAGCGGGCACTTGGCATTCATCACTTATATTTTATTTGATTTTTATCATCTGGTTGCACAAAATTTAAAGTAGATCTTTGTTTTGCTTGTGTAGTAAAAGAAATCTGTGCTTCGCTCATATATTCATCTGTCATGCATTAAGAATTTGCACTATTTCATAATTTTTATTATTAAGGGCCAGGTTAATACTCAGGGAGCGATTATATCGCATTTAAAGGAACAGATCGAAAAGTTTAGAGATTACAAGGAACAAGTAGTTGTGCTGAAGGCCGAAAGAGAGCATTTAGAGAACAAAGTGAAAACGCTGACCGAGAAAGTCAAGTACTTATCAACACCGGTATGTAAAAAATATTCTTGATCTTTAAAATAATTTTTTTCTGACATGATGTTTTTATTTCAGGAAACGGAACAATTGCAGTTGTTGCAGGATAAAATTACGATTCTCCAGCAACGGCACGAGAGTAGAGAAATGACCTTGCAAACGTTAATTCGTGACTTATTGAGGAATCGAACGCAATGCAAGGATTGTAAAAACGAGAAGGGCAAAAATCGGCAGCTTTGCTACTTTCGGCAGGAGCTTGATCATATTTTAGGGATGCTACAGGAGATCACTAACGTCCATTGATATCGCTGAATCGAGAAATCGTCTCTATTATTGTACAATACATCAGATGGTTCTCGGTTCTCATCGAATATTGTGATAATTTTTACAGGATTAAGACTTGCGATGTAATCTTAAATAATTCCCGAGAGAGGCATTAGATATCGAAAGTATATAGGTACGTTTGTACGCGTTTGTTCGCGTTACATTTAGCCAAAATATTTAGTCGATATCCTTTAATCGACTCTTCCAGGATTTGTAAGGATTATTATCGTTATTAATGCGCAATCTTCTTTCTCGCGTTCATGGTACACTGTTCGTTCTGCGAGTTCGTGCCTATCAGCGTGGAATTTGCAAATTATTCGGTAGGATCACTGCCAGAGAAACGCTATCGCGAACTAGCGTAGTCCAATGACGAACGAACGTACAACTGTATCACAATTTTTTCTATCTGTCGTCAATTTTCTTGCCGCGCGTGCAATATCTCGAAATACTGCCCCGCTTTAACTAATCGATTTTTATTGAATTAGAAATTAATTTTTATATACGTCGTACATTCTTAAGAGATTAGCTAATATTTTTTACTTATTTATTTATTTATTGAATCTTGAATAAAAAAAAATTGCACGGCTGTTTATACAACTTCTTTTTTCATTGATGTTATTACAGCTTATTTTGTTCTAAAATCGTATGACACGATAATTGGGGAGAGAGGGGAAGAAGAAAAGATAAAAGTAGGCGAATAAAAATATCTTCCAAAGATAAATGATATCTCTAGTTTTTTACTCGATAATTTTTGGAAACTTTGCTGTGTATATAGAGCGTTAAGATAAACCGCTGTATTTATTTCGGATAAAACTCTGCGTCGGTTTATTCGCGATCAACGAAGTCGAGTCAACGTGCTCGACTATATATCATGTGTATTATCGTATACATTATAAATACTCTAATTTATTATTACTGTTGCCAAGTGTAGCTGGTGGTTTAACGATCTCATTAAATGTAGTCTGTACGCGTCATAACAAACGCGAGCACGTCGCACAAATCAACGTGGCCGAGGCTGAAGGATGAGCAATAAATGGAATGCCTATTTTTCTGAAACGCTTTCTATGCGTTTTCAAGGCACTCATCTTTCTGAGACTCGGTTACGTCAAATCACACAATCACACTCTTTTTCTAAATAGATTTAAGATCGTTACAAATACACATATAATGTACAAAATTCAAAATAACTTTAATAAACTTAATCTTTTCGTCGACTAATCGATATCTTTTCAACAGTAACAATACAACCAAAGTTAAAAAATTGCCACCAATTTGTATTTTTCAGTAATATTTAATAATTTGTTAAAATAATATGCCAACAGCTATATAACAATTTGCCGTATGATATTTGTTATCCCTTCGAGATGTTCTACATTTTGTAATGTTATAAATCTAGATTGAATATTTGTTGTGTCTTCTTGCATTTCAAATTAATTTCGATGATTGGGTCAATATCGCATCATTTAAACAATATAATTTATCTCACAATCAATTTTTTGATTAAGAAACTATTTTTGTGTGCAAATTTATATATGTATTATATATTTTATATTATTATTTTATATTGAATTTTCATATTTTGAAGACTATTTTTTTAAATTTCAGATTTTTAAAATTGAAGTCTATTAAATAATATATGGCATATATAAAGAAAATAAATAGCATATACTTTATATTTAAGTATTGAGAAAAAGAGGGAAGGGAAATTATATTTAAATAATACAAGTAATGAATTTTTAACTACGCAATTCTAATACTATTTATTTTCGGACAAAATATATCTTCCTAGAGATATACATTTTTGCGGGATACACATACGAGCTGTACATTAATATACATTAATATTTCTGAATATTTTCGGAAACGTCACATACATTGCAACATATTTTAATTCGTGAAATAATCGATAGAAGCAGATTCAGAGGAAAGTAGCAGTTTTCAATGCCGTTTTGATAGCCAACTATATCTCTTTTACCAGATTATAAAACGTTGCATCTGCTGCATCATGTTGTTGCTGAAAGAATATTATATTTTATAGTATATCAAAAATTTTTAAATATATATATATATATATATATATATATATATATATTCTTTTTTGTTGTATTGCATCTTTTATATTGTTATTTTATTATTACATGTTTCATTATATACTTGATATCTATTTAAAAATTTTAATAATTTTACTTTGTCATAATCGTAAATTGTAAATTAAGAAATATTTTATTATTTTATTTTATTTTATACTCTACATTCTAATACTCTAATATTTTACATAATTATAATATCTTACCCAATAAAAGTTTTTTTGCCATTATAGAGAGAAAGTCCATAAACAGTACAAAGTGCCACGACGAAAGCTTGTCTCATAAAGTCATACGCCGTAGGATACTTTAAAAATCCGTAGTCCATTGATTTGGGAGCGATTTTTGCCTCAATTTTGTCAACACTTGCATCTTGCACATTTTGTTCCCATTTTGCGAACAATCGATCATTAGATGCGATTCTAGAAATCATTCTCTCCGCAGATAATGTTCGTTGTTTGCGATTTTGTTCAGAAGCTCTGATGACTCGACGAAGAGAAGCGAGTCGCGATGAGTCCTTAACATTGAGATTCAATGATCTACGATGCAACTGTCTAATGTCTGAATCTTTTTCGGGAGACTTAGCAAGTCGATTTTCGACTGATCGAGGTACTCGGCGCTCCTCTAGACTTCTAAATTGTCGATCGCGTCGCACATCTGATCTCTTTTCCAACGAACGAAAAGTTCTCCTTTCATAAGCTGCTCTATTTGCTCTGCGATCCATCATTCGCATCGAAATTGTATCACGTAATTCCGAGTTATATTCGCGTCGATTTTGCATCCTGGATCCTTCGCGTGATCTCGAGCTGTCATCGATCCTTCGCTCGAGTGACTTTCGCGAGTTGACAGTAGATCGTTTTTCTAGGATCCTTCCACGAGAAATTCGCAATTCCGGGTTTCGTTCTAGACGTCGATCTATCATCCTGGATGCTTCGCGCGATCTCGCGCTCTCGTCGATTTTTCGCTCAGATAATCTTTGTGAAATATCACGTCGCTCTAAGACTCGTCTTTCCGGAGTTCTCCTAAACTCTCGTCGTTCCATTTGTTCGCGAGATTGCTGTGGGACAATCCTTCGTTCCTCGCGAGATCGATATGCGCGGTTCGCTCTTTCTCGTCGTTCCAGACTTAAATCTCGTTGCCCTGTTGAAGAATCGTGTGATCTGCGATCTCTAGATTCTCTAATTTTTGCAAGATCTTGACGATACATCGAATTACGATCAACCGAACGAGAAGATCGAATGTGTCTCGCTCTTCGTTCCCGATTTGAAGTGTCTTCGAAATCGTAAAGAGAACGCGATGGAATAAGCCTAGAATTCTCTCTCGCACCGTTTTCGCGCGAATCACGTTGGCTTACGATCCTCTGTGAATGATTTATTCTTCCTCGACGTACGTCTTCGGACGAAACTCGTGATGTCATACGATCAAGAGATCTTTGACCAGTAAGACGATTCTCAACTCTTCGGTGCTCGATGCGGTTTATTTCCGTAGATCGAGCTAAAGATCTACGTTCAGAAGACAATCTGCGTTTGCTAGACTTCTCCATGTTTGATTCAACCGATCGAATTCGCCTATTATTAAGTGTCTCGCGGTCAAAATCATTGATACGTTCTACCGATCGAGACTGCAATCGACGATCGTTGGATCTAGCAAGATCTTCGCGGGAATTTCTGGTAATAATCGAAACGCGTGATCTGCGTTCTTGATTTGTAACGCGATCGAGAAGGACGCGACGAGTTTCAAGGGATCGCTTTCGACGATTCAAATTGTTGTTACGATCAATGTCCCCGCGTGCGAGATTTCCCAAACGAGCCTTCAGGAGACTTTCGCGATCATCGCGACGATTCGATCGTTCCACGTCTCGACGTTCAACAGATCGCAATCTACGCTCACGCGTTTCAGATCGATGGTCCACGCGAGTTCGCGTCAAGTCTCGGTATTCGCGACGTCCAGCTAGAAAATCGCGCGATTCTTGCCGAATGATTTCACTCGGCCCTCGTCGTTCCATCGAGAGTGATCTTCGATCATTTATACGAAGATTTGGAGAATTTCGTCGGTCCGCCGATCGATCGACGCGATTTTGTCGACGCGCGATTTCATTGAGCTCGCGTCGTTCTGTGGATCGTGACCGGGAATTTGTACGATCGGTGACATGGCGTTCTAAGGAACGGCGATCGAGATGCATGGTTGCACGATTGGATAAATCCTGCGATCGAGAAAGCCGAGTTGTGCGATCGTACAAGTTTTTGGCGTTGCGAGATTCCGTGATTGTCCTAAATCGAGATTCCCGAAGTCGGTTGACGGATTCATTGTCAGGTTCATAAGTCCTGGATCTTGAGGACCTCTCAATTTTTAGATTTCTGGACAATCGTTTTTCAATCTCCCGCGAACCAATCCTAGACAAGCGATCGAGACTCTGCGATCGAGAGAATTCGAGTCTTCGAGATATTGGTGATTCGGGTACTTTAATTTCACGATAGTTAATTGATTTGGAAGTTTTTTCCGGCTCGGTAATCAGATGTATAGGCATTTTGGTGAAAGGGTTTAAATTTGGACAGGCGTCCACCCTAGAAAAATAACGCTTCTGTGATTTTTATTACAAATGATTTTGAAAAAGAAATACAGTTTTATAAGAATAAAAATCTTTTTTTATCATAAATTATTAATATTTATATTAAATTAAAAATTGAACAAATAATAACATAAAGAAATAAAAATGTATAAAATAAATATTCTCTTTTTCTTTGAAACATATTATATTATTAGATTATTATATTATATAGATATTATTATACAAAATAGATATTTAAGAATTTAAAAAAATTAATATAAAATTAGAATCATAAGCATTTCTTTTTATAAATATGTGAAAAAAATATTAATTTAGTTCATACTCATGGGGAGCTTGATGCGTGAGTTCGGGTCCTGCGAGACTACCGGAATGTCCTTCTCTATCCCTAGACACTAGTCCTAGCGTCAGACATGCCAGCGATACTATTAAAAGTCCAATATATTGCCAAGATCGTACTGGCAAAACTACGTGACGTGTACGTCGCATCCTGTCACAAAAATTATTCAAATTCACGTTATCAATAATTGAATAAAATGCAATTTTATACATGTACTTTTGTTTGCCACTCAAAGTTTTAAACCGTGTTAAAAATTTAAAGAACAAAAGATGAAGGTAATACATGCAAAAATAGTTTCGAAAAAAAAAAAAATGTTTCTTTTCAGATGCGAAAAAATTCTATCTTTCTATTCTTTTTAAAAAAATTTGCTTTGAAATCTTTCATACTAAGTTTCTCCCGATACTAGAATATCTCAAAGAGTCTCGACGTCGACGAGAAGCCATACCTGAGAAATTCAAGACTGCCGTGACCAAGTTCGCTGTAGATATTCCAAAGGGCTTGAAGGGCTCTTCACGTTTTCGCGAGAAGTGCTCTTCCTCGGTGCTCCAGGAAGCTGCTGACGCTGAACGACCCGAGGGAACGGGTTTTATACTCGCGGGATCCGCGACATAATTCGATTGAAACGCAATTCACTGCTTATCAGCAGCGACCACATGGTGCCCCATACGTCAGCCCAACAAGATCGCTATGAACAAAGCGTGGACGAGCAATGTTGCGAGCGAAAAGATTGGAAAACCGCAATGCGTTTTCGGGTTAACCAGCCGGAAAATTGCGAATCGGGATGACGGTCGCACGTGGGTGTCCTTTAAAACGCATCGAAGCTTAATTCCGAAGGATCTGAATCGCTTCAAAATCCAAATTGAATTTCAAATTAATAAATTCTATTAAATGAAGACACATTATATGTAATTTATAACGCGTTATAAATTTGAATAATTTTTTATATGTTCGCTTCGTCATTAATTTTTATATTTTTAAATTAAATATTTATAAAATACAGGAAACAACAATTTCTTCTGGAGGGAAAATGAAATAAAGTATTTGAATAAAAAATTTTCTACTTTCAATATTCAATTTAACATCTACTTTTAATACTTTAAATATTCAGATCACACCCTATGAAACTATTTAATTTATAATTTTTCCGAAAATTTCTTTTTTAAATTCTTAAATGGAAAACTGTTTTTCGTTTACTATCTATTTAATGTACAAAGTAGGAGCTTTTTTACAACATAATTCTTACATAAATGAAATCTTCCAAAATATATAAACGTAAAAAATAGAAACAGGTTAAAAATAAGAACAAAATTTCTCACTCGGATAGACAACAATATATACATGTTTACAGACACATTTATTTTTATACAAAATTCGTACAAAAAGAGAAGCTTATATATGTCTTATAAATACGTATTATTAATATATATATATATAATCATATTTACATATATATTATATTATATTATATTTCTACACATATATATATAGTTTATAGTGTGTGCTAGATCGACGATAATTTTTAAAAATTCTGTCGTCCCCTTATGAAGAGGAATTGACCAGCGACCTAGTATTTTAGGAACTTGCCGATCAGTTTTGAGTGGTCGGAAACCGTTCAATATACAAGATAAGATCGCTTAAATTAATAAATTAATTGGCCTCCTTTCGTAAATTCGGAAATGTACAGGAAACATTCATGACGTAGAAAGCCGTTCGCATCATATTCGTGCAATCGATATAGTGAGAATGCATTCGTCTTGCAACACTTATCGTTAACTGTGTTTGACTATTTGCTCGCGGATATCTTACAACGTAACGATCGATACGATGATGATAGTGACCAGGTTTATCACGAGGATATGAGAAAAGCTTCCAGAGGAGCCGTTTGTCTTAAATTCGCAAGTCGTGTCGTTCATTTCCGGTAGTGCCGTGTAATTCGGGAAGATCTGAATTTCTGCCGGCTTGAAACAAAAAATTAAAAAATATATATATGATAAAAACAATTATATATAATGTTATAAAAATTATATGAATTTAATAATTTTTTAAATATTTAATTAAAAAATGCAAATATTATTTTAAATTTTACAAATGTTTTAATTGCATTGAGAGGTTTTACCAGTGCCAACTCGTCTTTCCTTGTTCTGCAGAATGTCATGTGTCTGCCATGATAAAGACTCTTTTCTATTGCTCCTGCAAGCAATTCATCTGTCCATGGTAAAGCCAGCATATGTTCAGCCATAGTGCGATCTGGAAATATTAAAGAAAATGTTAAAAAATAAGAATTGAGTTACACAAAATATTTTAATTTGTTTATAAATAATTTATCGATTTCTTATTATTTTTATTATATGTATATTTACTATTATATATTCATTTTTATTATATATTTACTTCGAAATTCTTCGGGGTCCTCGATAATGAGTCGCGCAAAGATATCGTCCTCGCTATCTTCCGTATAATCTTTCATCGCTCTTAACGCGGATTCAGCTTGCTTAACAAGAACCTTGTCGATCTCATCTGTTGGTTTTGTGACCGGATAAGCGGAAAGCTGTTGCAGGTTGGTCGAAGGTAGAGTCAAAACAGTTCTAAAATAAATGCTAGATTTAAGCCAAGATAAGATCAATATAGGTTTCATCAATATAGGTTTTTATAAGAAATATGACTCAATATATTTACTATAAAATCATTATAAATCTATCTTAATTAGTTAATGAAAAAGGAAAAAAATTATATTTTTTAAATAATAATCCTTTCCAATAATTAAGAAAATCCAATAATAATTTATTTCTTGATTTATTAAATCATGATGTGATTAACAATATTCTGTGCGAGATAACTCACCCATTCATCAAGAATAGCTTTTCCAAGTAATCCATCGTTATCCCTTTGAAGCTATGCACGCCGAGGGTCTTGAAAAGATCCTTGACGGGTGTCACGCTGTAGCAACCGGCGAGCTGTGTCCTGGGATAATGTACAATGAACGCCAGGCACATCTCTTGGGTAGCTGCGTACCCGCCTAAGGTCGGTTTTGATCTGTTCAAAGTGCCATAAACGCATTCCGCGACGAGTTCATCCCCAGGTAACACTTTCACTTCCTTCTCTAACGTATGAGACTGCTGGTAGTCAAAATCAAAATGATTGTCCTGGACTATCCTCGGCAATTCTTTACCTCGTCGAATGTGCTTTAAGCTGAGACGACGTCCGGCTAAATGTGAATGCAGAACAACCGATACGATATTGATACCATCTTCGGGAAACATCTGTGGAAGAAAATTTACAATCAATTCTTTTAGTTTCATATATTCTTCATTTAATTATTTTATGCATCTTGTAATTTTGAACATGAATATTTATTGCGATAAAAAGAAGCATAAAATATAACAATTAAAAACAATATCAGAATTATAATAATGTTTGCCAAAAAAATAGAAAAACTATTTTCATTTTTAAAATATTTTTTTGTATGTAAGTACACACATGAAGCATTGTTTTCAACTCAATTTCAATTTTTTCGTTACCGTTTTGGTGCAATGTGGAGTGCAGTATCCCGCGGTGGCGTATTCTTTTTGCTTCGGAGGCACTACATGAAGAGGGCTGACTGCCACGCCGGTTACGAGGATGCTCGCCTCCTGAGGACGAAGTTTCGGAGTCAAGTAGATTCTTATGCCGCTGCTGTCGATCACTCTCTTCATACTTGGATTATTATAGTGGACTTCTAGCATATAATACGAGCTCTCGCCGTGTTCCGCTACAGGTATGCCGACGTGTTCCGGCAGCCATTCCCCTGCAAGACATCGCGCGATGATGTTACTTTAATTAAACTATTTTTGTATATGAAAAAAATTAAATTATGTAGTTTAATTTTTAATCGTCTGAAAGTTTTCTCTTTCGATTTCTCTTTAATCTCTACTCTTGATTGCGTGATAGATGATAGTTTCGCCGACATTCTAAACGTATTTTAGCATTTTGCAGGAAATTTCGTTGCAGCAAATTATCTTGCCGAGGGGGACAGCAACTCGATCGTAGCTTCAATATGTATTCTTTGTTTTCACTTTGTAAATAATTCACCTTTACTGCCACGAGCCCAAGCGAGGATAGGCTGCAGACACGAATCCCATGCTCGCGGCATTGTCGGGCTGTAACATTTGGCACCCGCGATCCTGGCGTGTTCGCCAAGGATCGGCGACGTCGATGTGCACTCGTACAGGATAACGTGATGGACTAGATCCTCGTTGGCCTTTTCCACGAGCGGTGTGTACTGAAATTATAATAGATAACATATGAATGTGAGGCATTCAATATTCACTGGCCTCGTGTCATTGCAATTTTTGAAATTTGCACGAAGGAAATTTTGATTTTCTCCGGTTTGAAAAAATGATGTTTTAGCTTCTTTGAAGAGCTTCATCAATATCTCAAAGGTCGATTCAACGAGAGATTCATGACGGGAGCCTGGGAACAATCACGAGCCTCTCTCCCGCGAGATCGCATTGACAGTCGGCCAACGTTTCGGTACATGCAGTGACATCATTCCGGATCTCTTCTTTATTCTAATGACGCGCGCATCCACGTCGCGCGACGTCCGGCATGAATGACCGTGATTCGTGAAGCACATACGAATCAGGCCCAACCTTTGCATTCCATCGCAGCACCGAGACTTATTCTCGAGAGGTTCGCGTCTACTTGAGAAACCTGTTAACGAGAATTTGCATCGCCGTGTATTTACTTACCCCTATCATGTGGTGTTTCTCTTTCAGCGAGGAGGTCTTGAAGATCTTGCACCAGTAAACGGTGTCCGTGTCCTCCACCTCAAACTGCCAAAATGACGATGGTATTAAGTCGCAATTCCTTAATACAAGCGCGAAATTAAAAAAGTGACAAAGACGATTTGAATTAAAATGAAATTCAATCATAAATAATTTATGATTATTTATATTAAAGTGAAATCAGTAAAGTAAAGTAAAAACATAAAGTAAAATCATGAATGTATCTATTTTTATTTTTCTTTGTTTATTATTTATGTACTTGGCACCAATGTCAGAATTGATATTATTCTCTCTACCTGGTTAAGTTTCACGTCCCAGTGTCGTACATCCTGAAATTCTCGCGGTGGCGAATGTGCCGCAGCTGTCTTCAACCTTAGAGCCTTTCCACCTCGTCTATTCTCGTGCCATACCGCCGTGTTTAATTCTGGATCGGTTGGATGTAGAGCCCACAGCACTCTGACAGTGTCCTCCTGAAATCATACAAATGAATTTCGTTTCTTAAAACGGCAAAAATATTCAATTAAAAAGGTTAACGAGTAGAACAATTTGGTATTTTGTAAAATTTTGAAGAAATTTCATTCGATAAATAATATTTCAAATGTCGATTATAGAAGTACAGTATGTAATTAGAAGCGGATACGTTGATCGTCAAAGATTTGTGTCACAGAGTCGGGAGAAGAGGAACAGACGGCATGTTAAATGCCTAAATACCACCGCGGGAATTCGAAACAGCGGGGCCTCGAGGGCTCTTAAAACCTGCGGGGCCTCTGCTTTTCAGGCATAAATCGAAAGAGGGTTCTTCGCGAATTCTACAGAGTCGCGACGGTTGTATAGTAAATCTTCCGGACCGCTCGCTCGCTCTCTCTCACTTTCTTTCTCCGACTTCCTCGGACCCCATTCGAGCCAGTATGAGCGAGATATGTACGCAGCGAAGTTTGCTTTCTTTGTACGTGTTTTAATTATAGAGCAGTGAATTAGAGGTCGAAAAGTAATTTGGCGTTAGTTAGGTGCGATCAATTTCCGGCTCTCGTTGCGATAATGCACGCTTGCGAGTCATTCTGATATCTGAATGACTCCTTTGAATTACGTATAATATTTGAAGCCACCGGAGATTCAGAATTAAGTAAGATTTATTTTAAGTCTAAAATATACCTGTGGGCTTACAATTTTATGAGCTATTCATCATGCAGTAATGTTATGTTTTTTTTAATTCCATTATTTAAAAAGTAATATATAATACTTTCTTCATTATAAAATCAAATATTGATAGCTCTTTAATTATTTAAAATATATTATTTTTTAATATAGAGAAAAATACAATAAAGGAACGAAAAATTATTCAGACTTAATTTCAACAGGACTGCTCATATAATCATCTTTTTTAATTAGTGTTTGTTACCGTAAGATGATGATCTTGAGGATCACATGTCTGCCACTTCCTAGCAAATATCACCATGGTGTGGCTGTCGTTTTGCGAGCCACCGAGTACTCGGACGTCCTGTGATATGTCGACAACTGGTGCAGCCTTCATCTCAATACCGTGCGAATCCTGGAACACGAAGAAGGAAAAAGAAAACGTTAGAATCAGCGTCAAGAAGTTCAACGTACCCGTTGAAACAAGGCCCCGCGGGCTCCGAAACTCGCTTCTTGTAGTTTGAACGAGAGATCGAGAGCTTTATTAGGTCAGGTGAGTGCCAGGTGTTCGCATTTGTGGCGAACTGGGACTCTGGCGAAGGGGTCCTCCTGTCCGACGCAATTTATTTCTCCAAACTTACCTACTTTCTCTTTTACTTTGCTTAAGCGAAGTACGGTGAATGTGTCATTTTTTATATGTTATACCTCGATTTTTTTTTCATTCACGCGTTAATGTCGGCCAACTTAAATAACGTATATATTAGTCGTCACAAAGCTGATACCGTTTAAATAAAATTATTTACATCATGATTACATAGAATTTACGTATGAGTTATTTAATTATTTTAGAATTGATATTAATGAAAATATTGAATTAAAAAATATGTGGAATTAAAAATTATAAATTAGTAAGAAATATTAATTTCAAAAAGTTACAAATTTAATAAAAAAACTTATTATCCTATCAAAAATTAAAGTTTGCAACAAAAAAACAATTTTTCATTGAATTTTTTTCTATCAATAGATTGGTTTTTTCAAAATTTATCAAGAACTTTGCTATATGAAATTATGTAATAAATCTAATATACACATTGTGTAATATACATATATGGTTTTACAAAAAAATACCCAGAATATCGGACCTCGATATTTTAGTGCCCATCGATAAGGCATTACTTTGGAAAGAAAAGAAAGGAGCAGTTTCCCAGCTGCGTTATGGTAGCGCACGCGAGTATAAGGGAGGCCGCAGGCGTTTAGGTCCGTTGGGCCGGTTACGGTGGGGTGCACCCTGACGTTTGTACACGAGACGAGAGACGAGAGGCGAAATCCCGAAGGGAAGTCTCCTTCCTGCTCGTAATGAATCCAAATAATTGCCGTAGCGTCGTCATGCCCGGTGGAGTACTACGTTCCTCGTAACGAGCATGTGTAAAAAGGAAATAGTAATAGATGTATCTCGCGAAACGTTGCGAGGAATCGATAGAAATATGAATAAGAAGAGATTCAAAAGGGAAAAAAGCAGGAAATTAATGTTAACATTTTAATTATTTACTAATAATGTTCATCTATTTTAAATATATGAAGGATGCGTACGTAAAAGGGTAGACATTATAATATAAAATAAATATTAATATAAAATAGAAAAATATTATATATTATATATCCCCGACAACAATAAAGATCACTCTTTTATTTTACTTTAAACTTTTCACAATTATTGATTCTATAATAAAATAAATAAATTAAAAATTAAAATAAATGTTCGATTTTCGGTCTTTAAGTAAAGATAAATGGGTTTTAATTACAATCGGTTTTTTTTAGCGGGGAACAATCTGACTGGTCAGGAATATCATAATAATACTCGTGCATATATCTATCCGGAAGGCTGTAAAAATCTTCCTCTTTTTTATCTCGATCACAGCTGTAGAGTCGCATCACAATTTCGTGGGGTTCAAGTGCGTTCTCACGAAGTTCGTGACGATTTTCTCATGGCATCCGGATATTCTCATCGCCATCAGACTAATTAGTACTGCCCTGCCGTTGTTCGTTGATTAAAAGGTCTGCGATCCGAAAAGAAGACTGTTTTTTAATTAATTCATTCGATCGTTATCCAAAAATTGATATTTCACAACTGAATCTATTCTATAACGTGTGAGACTCTCACGCTAATTTTCAATGATAATAGAATCGCGATTTTTTTAACATTTGCATTTCTCGACAGTTCCTTCTGTAACTTCATAGCGAATAAAATATTTCGAAATGTAAGATCGAACCATAAAGGCTATAACATGCATGTTATCGACATTAATTTATCGGGAATAAAACAACATGATGGTTCGCGCGCATCTGAAAACCAGTTAGGTATCTCGAAAAATGTGAAAAGTTCAAAAGGAAAAAGAAAAGAAAACCTCGATTCCCACAGTAGATTATCCTGTTTACGACAAGACGAAAAATGCCGCAAAGTAGTTCGTTAAACGAAAATATTATGCAAACGACCTGTCGAAGTGCAAGCCGGCTCGACTCTCGCCGGTAGACATTGATTTTCTGCGATTGTGAGTCACGACGCTGACAACTCATGTCTCGTGTTCCCGATTTAAAAACGAGTTCTTTGGCAGCGCAGGATAACGATTACGTCGTCCACGATGTCATTATCCTCGCACGAAGAGCTACTATTCAATGCTCGTTAATCCCGCCTAGATATAGTCGAATCAACGATTTTATCGATGCGACGAGAAGAAAGACGAAGGTTGCAATTTAGATCATCAGGATTCAGCAAAGAATCGAGAGGACTATCGAGGGGCATCTTCGATCCACTCGCACGCTTATGGGACGCGGAAAATTAATTCGACGGATGTGACGTCACGGACCGGCACGATTGCGCTTCCTGCGAGAGTCTCCCGAGAGGCTTCTCTACTCGCGTCACACGCGAGTTCTATTCGCGAGACATTCCCAAGATACAGGTAAGGATACGAATCCTTGAGCGGATTCTCCTCTGCGAGACATTCTTTCTCATCGCATATTTAATCAACTTTTTATTTATCTATCGCAATGTGAGATTCATAAAATATCGCATGAGAGAAGAAATAAAAAAATTCATCTTTTCACAAGGGATTATGATCGCTTTAAAAATCTCTAAATTGGAAAGAGATAACGCATCACTGCACATCAAGTTATTTATATCGGGATTAAGATCGTCAGTCGAAGATTCTTCTCGGATGACGCTTCGACGAAATAAAAATAGGATGTCAGGGGATATCATTTTCCCGCGGTTTTGCTTCGCACACAATGCGTCTCGTATAAATGTCGATCGACGGCTTTCTACGCAGGAGACGCGAGATCCCGAAATCCCGATCGTAAATATGCCGTAGAATGTTTTTCCATGGGATGGATCGTAGCGTTCGCAAAAAAGGAAACGCCGCCGTGTGTTGTCGCTTTGTGCCCCGAAAACGGTTCCCATGGATCCCATGATCTTGAAGAAAAAGGAAGGAATGTCTTCGAAGAGGCGCCACTAGGAGAGAATGTTCGCCAGGTGTTTTGGTGGTAGCCTCTTCTTCATTTTTTCTCCCTCTCTCTTTTTCTCTCTTTCTCTCCTGCACTTTGAAGTATACGTGCATTTGGGTCGCCCTCCCCTCGTTCCTCTCCTTTCCTTCTATCGCTGTCCTTTTTAGCTTACTTTTTCCATGTCTTGCTCTTCCTTGCACCTTTCTCCTTCTCTCTTTCTCTTTCTTTCTCTTTCATTCTCACTAGTGAAACCAACCGCACTTTCCGTTCTTCTTTCCTTTTCTCTCTTTTTTACGTGCATTTGGAACCTTCTTCCCTCCTTCTCGCTCGAATCTCCTTTTTACCACCTGGCAGAACAGCAGCTGGTAGCAGTTTGTTCCCCGAAGAGAAGGGATAAAGAACTTTTCTGTCCTTCGGAAACTACAGAACCGACGTGACGATCGGCGACAAAATTTGCGTAAATTGCTTGCAGATTTGTAACTCACAGATGCGACTTGTATAATTTAGTTGCATCATCATAAAGATGAAAAATCAATCGGACAAATCTGTATAACTCGTGAAATATCAGAATGTATAATTTAATTATATCGTGAAAAAATTAATTTAATCAAAATAATGACAGTATATGACTTTTTATACTTTAATATATTTAATAAAATAATATTTAATAATAGTATATTTATAATAATATTATATATAACATACTTAACAATTTAACTTTTTTTAATGTTTATGAGTGAAACTAAATGAACATAAAAAAAAATCTATAATAATATTAAAGTATTGAAATAAAATAACGTCATATATTACAGCATCTGCATTTAAAGATGATTATTATATATTTATGATAGAGCAAACAAGAGAGAGAGAATCTTGCAGTTTTCCCTCTCTTTCATTTCTGAATTGATTTACTTTATTCTATTTTCAAGGGAATTATGATTGTGTCGAACTTTTAATCGCGATTCCGGCCCCGGTTCTCACGTGTCGCGGTCTCGGCATCGAAGAAGCGCGTACGCGGTTAAGCGCAATTACGCGCGGCGAGTCGTTAAGGCTCATCGTGGCCGGTTTTACGAGCAGTTACGTGGAATAATAATCAACGAATTAAAATGCGGTTGGAAATCCCTCTCGCTCCCTCACTCGTCGGGGAGGCGTCTGACCAGCCGCCACTCGGGGGTGCGCGCGTCCCCCGCAATTTGTTCGGCGGACCGCTTAACGATTCTCGCGGTTACTACTTTAATCGCACGTGGAATTTCTGCTCTCACCGGTTGCACCGATCGACTTAAAGACGCACTAAGAGATTCTCCGGCTTGATATGGCGAATAAAGTTTGCAGTTGCGTTTCGAAGTCGTTTTTACGAGGAAGAATTGCATATTTCTTTCAAAAAAATTCAATCAGTTACAGATATTAATCCGATAATTAAACTTCTTGAGAAATTTGATGATATGCTATTAAATAACATATAATATGTCAGTTATGTTTTTGCGTAAATCAAGGCTTAATTTTCCAGACAACATGTTTTAAATATCAAAAGACTTTATAAGTTATGCGTCTTCAACATTTTTAAATAATCGTAAAACTAGACAAAGTCTTTCGTTGGAATATGAGAGTGCTTCTGCGAACCAGTTTCGCGATGGTTCGACCACTAACAGCGCTAATTCGCTCTCTTTTTTGAGCGTTGTTTTCCTGGAGGCGAGGCGGGGTCCAAAAAAGGGGGTCCGTAACTCCCATCGTGCCGCTACATATTACCGGTAACTATACCGGTAACACTGGTATAACAAAAAAATTCAACAGTAAGCAAAGAGAAATATAGGAGAAACGTTTTCGTGCTTATTTAGGACGTTAACTCCAAAAGTTATCCTGATATCAGACTGTCTTCTCGATTTTTGCGAATTGTGGCAGAAATAGAGGAGAACTTCC